AAGAAGAGATGAAGGAGAGTTGGTCAGAGATATGAAGAGCTCTGAAGTTACTAAAGATTGTGAACGTTATTTCAAACATCATGAGGTTAACCTTGCTGTTCTTCCAGCCCGGTGAATGTAGGTATTTGCATCCTCGGGACAATCAAGTTGAATCACCCAATGTACCGCCGGAAAATCTGTTCGGAAAATACATTTTGAAATGCAAATCATCCCGTCAATCGTTTGACAATTCGTGCACTAAACTCTTAACTCAAATTTCATAGCGCTTTCGTTCAAATTTTATATGAATTTCGCTCACCCAAGCCGCGAGCAGCTATATCCGTAGCGAACAAAACTGCCGACGTTTTCCGACAGAAATCATTGTAAATCGCGACACGTTTTATCTGATTCTGCTTTCCATAGAGTGCCATTAGTTGGACGCCTGGCCTGAGACGACGATATACCTCGTATGTGAATTTCACCTAAGAAAAATTGAAAAGTATTCAAGATGAATTAGTAAATTGTTGTTTCATGAATATGAATCATGGTGTAGAGCTCCTAATGTAAACAAACACTTTGTTTCATTTTGAACTAGTAATGATCGCAACTCACCTGCTTGCAGCTGGATAGAAACACCAAGATCTTGCTTTTCAGGTGATTTTTGATAAAGGAATATAAGAAATTGATCTTGTCTTCAAGTTCACAAACAACGTAACTCTATAATGGATCGCAAAACTTTTAATATCGAAGTGTATAAATAATTAGGTTGGCAGAAAGAATGAAAGTTGTTCAGCTCACTTGTTTTAATTCCTGAGGCGTGGTAGCTTCGGAATCTTTGTACACAGATACATACTCTGGGTCCTAAAGTAGAGTGTGCCATTAATATATCTGTCTTACACTGGATAGCTCTATCAGTTCTGAGCTGTTCTTCCTGGACGTCCAGTAAGGATCATCTCTTATTGATCCAGTGTTGCTACAGGACGAAGCTTAAACTAAACTAACTTTGTTTATATATATTGGATCAGTTCTAAACAGTTTTTCATAGATGTAAAAAAGTGTACACAGCTATTAATGGAAAACTTACGTGAAGGCTTAGTCTAGCCAAATCACTCACAGAGCTAAAGAAAAAAGATTTCATCAAAATTTGTCAAAAGTACATAATGCAATATCAATTTTCTCTTTCATTACCTGGTTTGTGTAGCAGAGTAAAGAAGTGTTTGCCTTTCCTCAGGAAGATTTTCAATGATAGCATTTACTGTTTCACTAAAGCCCATGTCTAATATTCTGTCTGCCTCATCAAGCACTGCAAACAAATGAAACTCTAGTTGCCTTTGAGGCCATTTTTTAAAGTTAAAACAGGTTTTGGAGAGAAGTACAGCACCTGGATTAATAGTGGGAATGTTTAGAATTTAAAAGGCAAAGAGATCAAGGTTGTAGAAAGTTCTGACAAGCTGCTGTGTCCAACAAATGGACAAGCAATGTGAAGAATATGATAACTTTCTATGGAGAAGATTCCTTGCTATGCCATTTGACTGTAAAAGAGGTGAGTTTTCTAACCATTACCTACCCAACATTTTTAAATTGCTACAATCGAAATTGGGTGTTTCATCCATATGTTGCAAGAGACGTCCAGGCGTACACACTATGATATTTGTTTTGTGAATTCTCTGTTGTTCAAAACTGACTTCTTTACCGCCAATTATCAGACCAGCTGATATGTCGTGATGTTTGCCAATTTTACACAGCACTTCAAATGTCTGATACGCCTGTGTCAAAATAAATGTTATGTCCTACAGTAATACAATATTTGTTTCCCATGCAGGCCGGGATAAACTTCACTTGGTTCTGTTGGTAGAATTTATAGGTCCACTTCATTTAAATTCAGTTAGGGTTTAGAGTAGACATACCAGTTCTCTTGTTGGAGAAATGACTAATGCTCCAAGACCATCAATGGCTGACCACTTTAATTTCCATAAGCACTCCAGCAACTTGTGTTTTAAAAGATTACATAAATAATAATATTGATGTATGTATACACCTCTTATACGGACATCTCTCTAATACAGATGCCCCAATAATATGGCATAGACATCTCTTTAATAAGGACATTTCTATGCCATCACTTTACTCACAGGAATAAGAAAAGCTAGTGTCTTTCCAGAACCAGTCTTGGCAGCTCCAAGGACATCCAAACCCTTCAATGCAATTGGTATACTTTTCTTCTGAATTTCTGTAGGATTTATGTACGCACAACTTTCTAGTGCTAAAATTAAAAATAGCTTTTCTTCTGAATCTCTGTAGGATTTATGTACGCACAACTTTCTAGTGCTTAAAATAAAAAAAAGCTTGATATTTTATACTACTTTCACTTGCTTTCTTCAGGTTTCTGAAGTGTTTGATGAATGGAAGTGCAGTTCATTGAACAATTTAGTCATCTTTCATTAGGATCAAGCATTTAACCCTTATTGATATGTCTCACCTCTTTGCGTCCGACTTGAGAGTGGAATATCTGAGAACTTGGTGATGGTTGAAGCATCAAGCTTTGGTAGAAACAAAGAATTATTGAAAATTAAACAATGATAACAATGCATGGTTGGTAGTGATTATTCAGAACTTCACGATGTGCATGTATGCAGGCAATGAATAGATCTAGTTAAAGCTTGTTAGGATTACACTGGCCATTAACCTTTTGATCATTTGACAGAGCTGATCAACCAAATGCTGTCAATCTAAGTCAATTAGAATTGATTTATTCAATATGTGGTGTCTAGGAATCGTTGTCAGTCATGTCAGCGATCATTTCAGAATTCTCTGCTAAAATCCTAGAACCACTGTCAGTCTAGATCGTGTTATTTCAGATGTCGTCAGGAGTTGTTTACTCAAATTACGAATTGAAATCGTCTAAGAAATTTAAAATGTACTAAATATAGGCTAATTCAGACCTTTCATAACAAGGCAAAGCATTCGCTCCTAAATAGCGCTCAAAAGACGCCGATTCTACGATATTCGATACATAAAAACATCTTCCAACTCACAGCTAAAATATCCTGATCAAGCGCACTCATTTCAATCTCTTCATCCTTAACTTTTCTCAGCCTAGCTTCGCGTTTCGCCCATTTTGACTTCATTTTAGGCTTCCTGGTGCTCTCAGCTTTCTTATTCTTCTTTCCCTTGTCCATTTTGAAAAGAGGAAAACAATGAAAACCTCTAAAATTTTGTTCAAATCGTAAAAAATCACGAAAACGTGGCCGCCATGTTTGGAAAAGAAAACCCCAAAAACTGATTGGTTGATGAAACAACCAATCACCATTGGAGAAATGGGAGAACCAGATTTAAAATTTAACATATGCGAAGCGGTATTTTTAAATAATTCTAAAATTGTTTTTAACCTGCAAAACTAAACACAATGAGGCAAACTCTTTCCCTCTCCTGGTTTAAAAAGACGCAAGAAAATTTATTGACCGATAAAGTTTTAAAAAACCCTGAAAAGCACTTAAAGCAGGTACCATGAGAAAAAGAGAAAGTAAAAGATAACATAAAGTAGTCCAAAATGCAGATAGAATTCGCTGGCGCATTTTGGAACCTTTTCAAATATTTACCCGCCATAGCCCGCCAAATTCAGCCAATGAGCACGTGAAGTCAAACGTGTTCGAAGCGAAGGATTGTTCGAAAACCGTTGAAAAAGTAGCTTTTTATTTTCAAAGTTTCATGATCTTGGCAAGATCGCAAGTGTAATCGTTATGGCAAGTCTTGTTCTTGAAGACGGAACCGTATTTAAGGGCAAGCTCTTCGGAGCCGCCAGAAACTCGCCTGGGGAAGTTGGTAGGTCTTGAAACGAGATCGGAATAATAGTATAAACCCGATTACTAATGTATATTCATGTAGTGAAGAATGGTAGCATGATTTGAGCGTATTAATACTGTTCTGATCGGCTTCCATCGAGAGTAATTTTACTTAAAAACATCGTTTTATTTTGTGATGTTGTTATTGAAGTTCTACTTTGTTGTTTTACTTTAATTGTTATGTAGAGCGCAGACGATCTTATATTTGTACTTTTTATACGTGATTATAATTTAAATTATTCAAAGATATTTATCGTGTTATGTGCGATGTTTTTCATGCAAAATTTCCTTTCGTTTGTGAGAATATGTTGTTCGTGACCGTCGATTATAAACCTACCCTCGTTAACCTCGTGGGGTTTATCAAACTCGTCGATGATAGGAAAAATATACCGCAATAATAATATTGGAACAGCATGTATTCTAATTTTAGCATTGTGTGTGGGCTGTGGGGGTAGAGGTGGGGTAGGGGTGAGGTGATCACCACAACTACCAGAGGGGCCCTTGGTCAGAGCAAACTTAAAATAAAAGGACAATCAACCTACCAACCAAACCCATGCCATAAATTGTTGAGGGGCCTGCCTTGCCCTGACCCTATTCAATCTTTTCTTGCAAACACACCTGGCAGATTTCAAAACATTGACACCGTGCATTAGGAAAAGCAATACTGTGATTGTACCTATATTCCAAACTCCACCCCCCAAGTCCATTTCTTTCACAATGGAACCGTAATGATCAATATTTGATGATAATGTTCACTACCATAAAACTTTCCTAGTATTTCAGACTGGGATGGTTGGCTACCCTGAATCACTCACAGATCCATCGTACCGTGCCCAGATCTTGGTTCTCACCTATCCTCTCATCGGCAACTATGGTATACCTGGTAATAGCCTCGATAAATTTGGCATTTTGGAGGCATTCGAGTCAGAGAAACTCTGGTTATCAGGTTTGGTTGTTGGGGATTATGTGGAAGAATACAGTCATTGGAATGCCAAGAAATCACTGTCAGAATGGTTGAAAGAACATGACATTCCTGGGATTCAGGGTAAGTGGGAATCTTAACCCACAGGATTGGGATCAGGGTAGGAACAAGCACACATTGCATGGATTGGGTTGTTTAAACTCCAAATAAAGTAGATCAAACAATAAAATTTGGTACTGATTAGTCATAGCTTATATCTAAATTTGCACCCCTCTTGCAATCAACTTAGCCTTGGGTGAAGGAAATACACCCCCCTCATGTTGTCCTGTTAAATCCATCCCTGTAGTATGTTACCTTATGATAATTTAGAACTTACATTTCATCCAAACCTTATGCTTATATACAACATCCCAAGTGCTTAATGCTCTAGATTTCAAAGTATTCTGTGATATTAATCCACTGGCAATCAGAGAGGTTGGAGCATTTTGCCATTTGACCAAAGAGCTAATATGAATTTGTAGGTGTTGATACCAGAGCACTCACAAAGAAAATCAGAGAAAAAGGCACAATGTTGGGAAAGGTTTGAGCTTTTTTGTTTTAAAAATAATTAATGAACAGAAAGGTATTTGAGTCATATATTTTACTTATCTGGTGCACAATATCAACACAAGTAAATTGCATTAGTTGAAGAACATGTATTTATGGTAATTTTTTTAGATTATTATTCATGGCACAGAGTCATCTGCTGTCCCCTTTGATAACCCTGATGAACGCAATCTTGTTGCTGAAGTTTCATTGAAGGTAAACTTCCTACACAAATTTCCTCTTCATTTAACAAAATTTCAATGCTTAGTTACCTCATTATTCTTTAGATTCAATAGTTCTTGTGTCATTCTAACAGAACTTTATCATAACAGTATTAATCCTAGGAAATTGAATAATCTGACTCTAAATAAGGAAAACAATTACAATGGCCACTCCTGTGTGCATTCTGGAATAATAGAAAAAGAAAGACAGACTGAGTTCTGTTTTTCTCTTGATTTCTCTAACTGACAAGGTCATTGTTCTTCTAGAAACCTGTTGTATATAACCCCGAAGGCGATGTAAAGATTATAACTGTTGATTGTGGGTTGAAATACAATCAGATCCGATGCCTGGTGTCTCGGGGTGCTTGTGTTGAAGTGGTTCCGTGGGACTATGATTTTAACCAAGGTACACAGTGTTGAAAAGTGTTAATATGTCATGGTTTTTGATCATGCATTATTAGGCAAGATTAATTGAGTCAAAAAGATTTTAATTTTCCAAGATTTTGAGAAAAGAAAGCTGCAGTCCAGCTACTGATGCAGATATAGGTTACCTTACAAGCAGCATAGAACTGCAAGCAAAAATTTGACTTGGGCTAGTGTAGCATAGAACTTGACAGAGACATTGTTGTTATTTAATACCAATTGACTTATAGTTGTACGTTTGTTAAGGTGAATTTGATGCTGTATTTCTGAGCAATGGCCCTGGAGATCCGATGCAATGTTCGGCCACAATTGAAAACATCCGGAAACTTGTGAACAGCAAGACACAGAAACCGATCTTTGGAATTTGTTTGGGACATCAATTGCTCTCACTCGCAGTTGGATTAAAAACCTTCAAGATGAAGTAATACGTTGTTGTATATTGAACTCGAACACACGAATAAGAACACGATTTGGGCAAAGTTAAAACTAAAAACAGAATGAGATAACTGGAAGGGTATTCTGGTAGTGCCATTTGTTCCCAGCTAGAACAGGCAGAACCTTTGTTTTAAAATGCACTCTCGGAAAAAATACAATAGATGATTCTCCCCTGTTCCAGATCAGGCGGTCTGGCAATTTTTAAGAAAATAAGAGCGCTTGTTAACTATCGGTGTACTAACGGAACGTAAAATAATACAATAATAATGGATAACGGTCAACCACGGTCTTATGTGAACAAAGGTTCCAAGTTTTTGGGCAATTGTGAATGGTAGACCAGAGACAATTACAAGCGTTTTTCGTGCCTATCAGATAAGTTATTCCAGACTTTCGTTTTTCCAGGTATGGGAACCGCGGTCACAATCAACCTTGCATCCATGAAGAAACTGGTCGATGTTTTATCACAACACAAAACCATGGATTCGCCGTCGACACCAAAACTCTGCCCTCGGACTGGTCCGTGCTGTTTACGAACGCAAACGACAAGACAAACGAAGGAATCATTCACAACAGTTCCCCATTTTTCAGCGTACAATTCCATCCCGAACATACAGCAGGACCCGAGGATTTGGAATGTCTTTTTGACGTGTTTCTACAAACCGTACGCGATTTTAAGACGGGAACGAAGACTAGTGTTAAAGACTTGATTAATAAAAGATTCGCTGTTCCGTCTATCTCCTCAGACATCTCAGTTCGACCAAAGAAAGTGCTTATTTTGGGATCGGGTGGACTGTCGATCGGTCAGGCTGGAGAATTTGATTATTCCGGTTCTCAAGTGAGTTCGTTGTTTTTCATCCCCGTTACTTGTTGGGATGTACCCCAGTGTGGTTTTGTAGGAGGGTGGATTACGGGCCCCCCTGCCGCTATAGGAAAAGAGGTACTATTCAGATTGTCAGAGACCCTCCACACCCCGTCTCAGGCTAGGTGGGTGCACCCAGGCCCTGCCCTGAGTTGCAAGGAGTCTTCAACCTTCTCTAAGGAAAATCAAGACCCCCAGAAGGTAATTTCAAATCAGTTTTATTCCGTAATTTTAGGCTATCAAAGCTTTAAAAGAAGAAGGGATTCAGACCGTCCTTATCAATCCAAACATCGCCACAGTTCAAACGTCAAAGGGCCTGGCTGACAGAGTATATTTTTTGCCCGTTACAACCGAATATGTTACACAGGTATTTAATATTATTTCTCTTTAACATCGTACGTATTATTGTCATCAGGGTCATTTTTTCTGACTCAGATTGTATAAACAGATTTATGCTGAGATATCCACTAATATCGTTTAGCCACAACAATATGAAAATTGAATCATAAATGAATATTTACAAAAACCTAGTTGAGATCTAGCTTAAAATATTACCTTGAACTTTCGCTGAGAGTTGAAGTTAAAGGTTACACGAACTGAATTATTGCATGTTCAAGTGAATTGGCAATCCTGCCCAGAAACTTTTTCATGTTTTAAAAGTGATTTTGCGTTCATATTGGATCCCAAACATTTATTAACGCCAAGCAAAAGCGCGCTTTTATTGACTGTAAAATACAGTCAATAAAATGTATGAGAAGCGGTAAATGAAATGGTGGATAGCGGGAAACTTGGCCAGTAAAGAGCTAGTTTTTCCAACGCGAGGACTACTATTGACCCAATAGTCTTTTTTCTAACAGGTTATTGAAAGCGAACGACCCAACGGAATTTTGCTATCATTTGGCGGCCAAACCGCGTTGAATTGTGGTGTAAAACTGCAGGAGGAAGGCGTTCTGTCAAAATACCAACTCCGGATTCTCGGAACGCCTGTACAGTCGATAATCAACACCGAAGACAGACAGATATTTTCTCAGAAGCTCAGTGAAATAGGCGAAAAATGCGCTCCAAGCGAAGCTGCATATTCTATGGAAGAGGTAGGTATCAAGGTGTCCTTTTTGAGCGTTTCAAATATTTCTTTTGATAGTTTTAATGGTTTGTCAGCACAGCCCATAGCTTAGGATAAAGAATCAAATATTTGTCAACACTTTTGCGATCGATTTCGCGTTGTTTTCATTGGTTTTGTGTCAGAAAAACAAATAAAACGCCACAAAAATTAGGTGCTATTTACATATTCCTGTTGGCCTGGAGAAAGCCGTTTCTGCGTCGGTTTTTGTAATACGGTTATGAAATTTGTTTAGTATCTTAGTTTATTTTCGGAAGTAGCCACAGTAATTTTATGTATGAATACTATTTATTGCAAGTTCGCCAAAACAATATGAAATGACTGTGCAATACACCTTTCTTATAATGACGTTAACGCGGAAAGTCTGATGTTTCACGAAATTCGATTGGTTCCACAAAACTATCGAATCAACAAACTTCGTGTAACATCAGACTTTCCGCGTTTGCCGTCGTTATGAAAAAGGTCTATTGCGAGTGTTTCGTCTTCTAGGTTCTAGCAGCAGCGTCGAGGCTTGGTTACCCGGTGATGGTCCGCGCGGCCTTTGCCCTCGGTGGCCTGGGATCTGGCTTTGCAAAAGACGAGGAGGAGTTGGTTCGACTCGCACGGATTGCCTTCGCCCACACGAAGCAGGTGTTGGTTGATAAGGCGTTGAGAGGATGGAAAGAGGTCGAATATGAAGTCGTGCGTGATGCATACGACAATTGTGTAACGGTAAGCGACCATTGAGCTCATTTTATATCTGAAGTGACAATATCAGATGGCAGGCTCGTTCGGGGAAATCATTTCTGGTAGTTCATGAGCAAACCACGACAGGTTATTGTAGAATACTACCTACACTGAACCACCACGTTTGAGATATCTTTCTCAGGTAGTTCAGACACAAACCAAGACAGCATATTGTAGAATACTACCTACACTGGACCACCACGTTTGAGAAATCTTTCTCAGATAGTTCAGACACAAACCACGGCAGTTAATTGTAGAATACTACCTACACTGGATCACCACGTCAGACTTTTTTATACATTATAATTAAAAAAATGGTTTCCATCCACAGGTATGCAACATGGAAAACGTGGATCCACTTGGAATACACACGGGTGAATCAATCGTTGTAGCTCCCAGTCAAACGTTAAGTAATGCTGAATACAACATGCTTCGTACGACTGCAATCAAAATGATTCGACATCTTGGCATTATTGGAGAATGTAACATTCAATATGCCTTAAATCCTTATTCGAGCGAGGTTAGTTGCAAAAGTAAGAGCAATCTCTCATCGATCCTGTTTTACTACAGGAGGAAACCAAATGTATAAGTTTCAAATTTGAATAAGTATTTTTAATTTTCATTTAGTATTACATCATTGAAGTAAATGCTCGGCTTTCACGAAGCTCTGCACTGGCCTCAAAAGCCACTGGATATCCCCTGGCGTACGTCGCTGCTAAGCTATCCCTAGGAATCCCCTTACCTGATCTCAAGAACTCTGTGACTAACTCGACCACTGCCTGTTTTGAACCAAGCCTTGATTACGTGGTCGTGAAGGTGCCCAGATGGGATTTGAAGAAGTTTAACAGAGTCAGCACCAAGGTAAGGAAGTTACTCATGAAAGTTAGTTTACTTCTTTGTTGTTATCCATCTTGTTTTTCAAAATAGTTGCGATCTAAACCTTTCTGATCTAAACCTTTCTGATCTAAACCTTTCTGATTTAAACCTTTCTGATCTAAACCTTTTTGATCTAAACCTTTTTGATCTAAACCTTTCCTGCTTGATATTGTCAAGATTGGTTCTTCGATGAAAAGCGTTGGTGAAGTTATGGCGATTGGTCGCAAGTTCGAAGAAGCTCTGCAGAAAGCATTGAGAATGGTTGATGAATATAACATTGGCTTCGATGCAAATGGCTGCGAGGTTACTGAAGATGTAAGTGAATAAAAGTGTCTGTATTAGAGAGATGTCTGTATTAGAGAGATGTCTGTATTAGAGAGATGTCTGTATTAGAGAGATGTCTCTATTAGAGAGATGTCTGTATTAGAGAGATGTCTGTATTAGAGAGATGTCTGTAATAGAGAGATGTCTGTATTAGAGAGATGTCTGTATTAGAGAGATGTCTGTATTAGAGAGATGTCTGTATTAGAGAGATGTCTGTATTAGAGACATGGCTGCATTAAAGAGATGTCTGTATTAGAGAGATGTCTGTATTAGAGAGGTGTCTGTATTAGAGAGATGTCTGTATTAAAAAAGTGCTTGTATTAGAAAGGCATTGCCCGTATTCTTATTTCCGTATTTGAATTTATTGCTAAATAACATTTATGTAGGAACTGAGGCAACCTTCTGATAAACGTATTCACGTGCTGGCGGCAGCTTTGGAAGAAGGTTATGATGTTGACAAACTTTACGAGTTAACGAAGATAGATCGCTGGTTCTTGTATCGAATGAAAAACATCATTGACGTGAAGAAAAACCTAAAAGAAAGCCATTTGAAGGTATAGTTAATCGATGATGAATCATCGATTAATCATCTCTGCTTGATGTAGTCAAGTTATTGATTATAACTGATCACTCAGGGGAGGCCAGGTCAGGTGATCCTCTCTGGAACCTCGAGGGAGGACTTTTAGATCTGGTAGAGAGATACAGTTTAATTTAGGTTATGAAATTGTTGAGTCAGTGAAGGAAAGGTTTTGATCATGTTGGCTTTTTTTTCAGGTTCACGATTTATCTCCACCTCAGCTACTTGAAGCAAAGAAACTCGGCTTTTCTGATAAACAAATTGCCAAAGTCATTCAAAGGTTGGTAAATTCTTACTATACTATATGATACGATACCATATCATACTGTACCATACAATACAATACCATACCATACCATACTGTACCATACCATACCATACCATACTGTACCATACCATACCATACTGTACCATACCATACCATACCATATGATATCATACCATACCATTAAATACTGTACCATACTATACCATATCATATACCATACCATTAAATACTGTACCATACCATACCAAACCATACTGTACCATACCATACCATACCAACCATATCAATACAGTGCTATGCTGGGCAATATTATACCATGCTATAGCTACTATGCTATGTTGCACACAGTTATATCATACTATGCTGTATAAAGCTATACTACGCCATTTTTGACCATTGGATTAACTATACCGTAACGTTACCAAACTCTGTAATACCATTACATTTACATTTCTTTTCCTCAGCACCGAAGCCAGTGTTCGTCATGCAAGAAAGACAATGAACATCATGCCATGTGTTAAACAGATAGACACAGTGGCAGCAGAATATCCAGCAGTTACCAACTATCTGTACTTGACCTACAGCGGTGATCAGAACGATCTGGAGTTTCCTGGTGATGCTATGATGGTCCTAGGCTCTGGAGTGTATCGTATTGGGAGCAGTGTCGAATTTGATTGGTGTGCTGTTGGCTGCATACGTGAACTTCGCAGAGTAAGTATGTCTCGCTCCATGTAAACAGGCCCTATGTCACAGACCTCAAGCTGTTACAGGAACTGATTGAAAAAACTGATTGGACAAACTCATTGGAAATGACAGTTTGTGGATTGACACAAACTGATTGGAAAGAAAGAATTACTAGGTTTGAACAAGTTTCCAAGTTACCTGTTACCGCTTAACTATATTTATCTCATTCTATACCACAGCTTGGCAAACAGACGATAATGGTGAACTACAATCCAGAGACGGTTAGCACTGATTATGACGAGTGTGACAGACTATATTTTGATGAAATATCTTACGAGGTAAGCATTTGTCCATTGTTTATAGGTAGAGTTGTTTTAACACCCAATTCAGAATTAACTGCTTTCCGTTTTCCTAAGACCGTGATGGATATATATGAGATGGAGAATCCTGAGGGTGTGATATTGTCCATGGGAGGACAGTTACCGAACAATATCGCAATGGCATTGCATCGTAGTCAGGTATAATGGAGCTTAACGAATCTATAAATAAAGTTAGTTTAGTTTAGGTTTCCTCCTGTAGTAACACTGGATCAATAAGAGATGATCCTTACTGGATCTCTAGGTATAAAACAGTTTAGAACTGATAGAGCTATCCAGTATGAATAAAGTTAGTTTAGTTTAGGTTTCCTCCTGTAGTAACACTGGATCAATAAGAGATGATCCTTACTGGACCTCTAGGAAGAATAGTTTAGAACTGATAGAGCTATCTAGTATAAATAAAGTTTGTTTAGTTTAGGTTTCCTCCTGTAGTAACACTGGATCAATCAGAAATTATCTTTTGACTAGACCTCTAGGAAGAGTTAATTGATAGTGCTGCTATCTGGTATGATTAAAGACTAAAGTGTAATTTTGTTCACCGAAATACGTTTCTTTGCTCCAGGTTCGAGTCTTGGGAACTTCTCCTGAAATGATCGACAATGCGGAAAACAGATTTAAATTTTCTCGTTTGTTGGACAGTGTGAACATTTTACAGCCGAAGTGGAAAGAATTAACGACGCTAGAAGTAAGCACAAGTCAGAGATCGTTTAAAAGCCAAGGTTTTGAGCCAAGATTAACGTAATCTACCATGTCTAAGTTTCATTTATAGCCGGTGATGTGTCCGCAGTATGATCTGGTTTTGCGTGTTTAGACATACGAATTTGTTTCGTCTGTTAATAGGCAGCCAAAGAATTCTGCAACACAGTTGGATATCCGTGTCTTGTTCGACCATCGTATGTGCTGAGCGGTGCAGCGATGTATGTTGCTTTCTCTGATGATAATCTCACTGAATATATGGCAATGACTGCGTCAGTTTCCCGTGAACATCCAGTCGTCATTTCCAAGTTTATTATGGAGGCTAAGGTGAGTTTTCAGGTATTCGGATTGATGGAATGGTATTCGGATTGATGGAATGGTATTCGGATTGATGGAATGGTATTCGGATGGATTTCGTCAGGAGAGTTAATATTACTAGTGTTAAACTATGGAGGTAGCTGACTAGCTGCCAAGACCAAGCGTGGTGAATTGGGTATAGCTAGAGTGGTAATGCCTTGAAGGTTGTGATTCCAACATGACAAGACTTCTTCTCACCCTCTCAGGAAATCGACGTGGATGCGGTGGCCTGTGACGGGGAAGTCCTCGCTCTCGCCATTTCTGAACACGTTGAGAATGCTGGCGTTCATTCTGGGGACGCTACGTTGGTTCTCCCCGCTCAAGATATCAATAAAGAAACTATGGAGAAAATACGGAATGTCTGTTATGCCATTGGCAAGGCGCTGATGGTCAGCGGCCCTTTCAATATGCAACTCATCGCTAAGGTAAGAATGTACACTGGAGGTAAACGAGATAACGTTTGATAGAAAGGGAATCGGAGGGTACTTGTCTCTGAGAAAACTCGATAACAAGGAAGAAAATTTTAGAACTGATGAGCTATCTAGTATAAAAGTTAGTTTAGGTTTCCTCCTGTAGTAACACTGGACCAATAAGAGATGATCCTTACTGGACCTCTAGGAAGAACAGTTTAGAACTGATAGAGCTATCCAGTATAAATAAAGTTAGCTTAGTTTAGGTTTCCTCCTGTAGTAAAACTGGATCAATAAGAGATGATCCTTACTGGACCTCTAGGAAGAACAGTTTAAAACTGATAGAGCTATCCAGTATAAATAAAGTTAGTTTAGTTTAGGTTCAATAAGTTTGTGTCAAATTTGAGGTGACGTCAAGTTTGCTTTCTGTATTAATCAATACAACTCTCTATTTTTGTAGGACAACGAACTAAAAGTAATTGAATGTAACCTCAGAGTGTCCAGATCATTTCCCTTCGTATCCAAAACACTCAATCACGATTTCGTTGCGATGGCAACGCGCGTGATCTGCAATGCTGATATCGAACCAGTGAATGAATTGAACTGCAATGGCCGTGTGGGAGTAAAGGTGGGTATTTAATGTCCCTCGTTGTTTCCTGGGTACATCAAGCTTTTTTTCACGAGGGTCTACAGGTGGCAGCGTGGACAACCACGAAGTTGCCCGCAGTCACCATACAATATTGTACCATACTGTACCATACCATACCATACTGTACCATACCATACTGTACCATACCGTACCATACCATACCATACTGTACCATACCATACTGTACCATACGTACCATACCATACCATACCATACTGTACCATACCATACTGTACCATACCGTACCATACCATACCATACCATACCATACCATACCATACCATACCTTGTTCTGTATTACTAAAGATTTGTGCTGTATTAGTAAAGATACGCTATCAATTGTTTTTTGGTTCCCGAGTATTTTCAACCAAGGTTAACATCATTATGATTGAGAGGGCCGATGTGTCTTTCTGTTAAAATATCAACATTTTTCCCTCGTAGGTTCCACAATTCTCGTTCGCTCGCTTGGCTGGGGCAGACGCGATGCTTGGCGTGGAGATGGCCAGCACAGGTGAGGTCGCGTGTTTCGGAGAAAATCGTTACGAAGCTTATCTTAAAGGATTGATCAGCACCGGGATGACCGTGCCGAAGGAAAGCATCCTTCTGTCCATCGGGAGCTTCAAGGCGAAGAATGAAATGCTGCCCAGCGTTAAGACTTTGAGGAGTTTGGGTTTTCAACTGTACGCAAGCCTTGGTACAGCAGACTTTTATACAGAACACGGAATTGAGGTTGGTTCTAAACGTTGGACATGTAAAAAACCTTCCAAATTCCTGTTCCCTGCCCTAATCTTATTAATAATATGTTTCATATTTTGTTCAGTGTTTTGTTATCGAAAAATAGACTATAATATAAAAAGAATTCAAGACGTAGCCTGACTAAAATTTGAGAAGGTTATCGGCTTTTTGTATTTTGACTGTAATCTTTAAAACTCCGATGCATATGTGGTGAATAATTTGACATTATATGAAAATTTTGTTAAGAATTTTAGCTGGAAAATATAACTTTTATTTGTGTAAAAACGTGAACTATAGGGTTGTCAATAACTTAGCATTGAGTTTATCTGAAACCACGAGTCATAAGTGCCACCAACACAGGGGATCCTTTATTAATCTAGGACTTTTCGTTTCTATAGGTCCATCCAGTTGACTGGCCCTTCGAAGATGTGAACGGGAATGGCAATAAAAAGAAAAACATTGCTGATTATTTAACACAAAATAAGTTCGACATGGTTATCAATCTTCCGTTGAGAAACTCCGGTGCTAGGAGGTCTTCTGCATTCCTGACTCATGGTTATCGGACGAGACGGATGGCTATCGATTACTCGATACCATTGATCACCGATATCAAGTGTGCCAAACTTTTCATTGAGGTAAAAGAAAGATAGATTTAAACTATGTTGAAACTCTTGGTTTTTAATTGGATTGGCTTGAAAGTATATTTCACTTTGGTCATGGTAAAGGAAAGATTTTAATATTTCGTATAATTGGTTTAAAAACTTTATCTTCTAACTAGAAACATATAAAAGACATTTAGACATTTTCACAACAAATAGACTAAGAGCCTATTTACATGGAGCGAGTTATCTCGGCTAGGCGAGGTGAAACTGCATATAATGAAAAATTAAGCCTTTGATGTGATCGGCTTTTTACCAAGTCTAGCCGGAATAACTCGCTCCATGTAAACAGGCCCTAAAATGGGAGTCCTTGGTAAAACAGTTTAAACTCGTATAGCCATCCGTTGTAAACTAATACACAGATAATAAATCTCCAGGCCTTACGAAGAGTGCGTGGTTCACCTGCCATCAAAACTCACATCGACTGTCTGTCCTCATTCCAAGCGTATCGCCTGCCAGGCTTGATCGACATTCACGTACACATGCGAGAGCCTGGCGCGAATTACAAAGAAGATTTCGATTCTGGTACAGCGGCAGCGCTTGCTGGCGGCATTACAATGGTGCTGGCAATGCCTAACACAAACCCTGCCGTCATCGACCAAGAGTCGTTCCAAGTTGCACAACAGGTATAGATTCCGACATATCAAACATTCATAATGTGCCCGCGCTGGGGGCAGTTGTATTCAACTCTTAATTGAATTTTGCGTGGTTTAATAACCACTTTTCTATTCCTCCAATTCCTGGTTTTTTAAAATCCGTTTTGCCACTCCAGTATGAAGTTGTAACATCGGTCAAGTAGTTGACATTGAACAAAAGTATTTAACATATAAAGTGCTTAAAAGTTAAATCCACTTTTTAAATGTTTGTTTTTAAATAAACTGTCATTTAAACTAAACAGTTCTCGTATAAGCGAGCGAGGGAGCTGGATAGAATTGAATACGAGAATCCGAAGCAAATTTCTAAATGGATTTAGTGTATGGTGTAAACTTGCAAGGACGCTTCAAAATAGGTAATGCTAACACTGTTGACGAATCATCACAAGTGTATCTTTCGTTTTTAGGCCGCTGCCCATGGTTCACGCTGCGATTACGGTCTGTATTTTGGTGCCTGTGCCACAAACACAACTCTCTCCCCACAACTTGCAAGACAAGCCGCTGGTCTCAAGATGTACCTGAATGACACTTACACGACTTTAAAAATGGACGACTGTGGTTTGTGGATGAAGGTGCTGTTCATATTGAACACGAGTTACCCCGTTTTTGTTCAGTTGCTCCCCGTGAACTTTGCCCCATTGACTTCAATCTTTGATTTTAAAAAGCTCTTCTATCTCCCTGTTTAATGAGGGGTTTTTTTTATCGCATTATTTGAAATGTGCTTAATCAAGCTCATCAAATGAGATTGGTTCCACTTTGCATTGTTTTCGAACGTGCGACATTTTCGTTGAATGAAAATACGCCTTAACCACTGTTCTGATGATTTCGTACTTCAACTTTGTATTTGTGTCTTTTAGCATTTAAACAATTGGCCAAAACATCTTCCAATCTGTTGCCATGCCGAGGGGCAAACGACGGCGGCCATTTTGTTGCTTGCTGAACTGTGTGACAGACCTGTACACATTTGTCATGTTGCTAGACAGTCGGAGGTTAGTCGCGTAGAACAGTTGAAAAGTTACTGGGCCCGGTTGTATCAAGCCGTTTAGCTTAAACGGTGGATAAGTCAAAATTAAATAACACTCTTAGATCTCTCTTGAATGAGTCAACTTGAATATTATGCACTGAATATGTAGTTGTAAACAGTATCTTTGTATCAAGGTCAAAAACATTTAGTCCGCTTGTTGAATAAAGCGGCAGGCTTGATTTCTATTTTGAACTTATCCACCGTTTAAGCTAAACGGGCTTGATACAACCGGCCCCTGGAGTGTTCATGGTTTCCCTGTTGAGTAACTCGAAGATTTTCGTCATTTAGATCACCGTTATTCGAGCCATGAAAGAGAAAGGTTTTCCGGTCACCTGCGAGGTTGCACCACATCATTTGTTTTTGACCGAGGACGACTTGAACCGAATTGGACCAACCAGGGGCCGAGTTAAACCACCCCTCGTCACCACTGAAGACCAACAGGCATTGTGGGATAACATGGATATCATTGATTGCTTTGCAACCGATCATGGTATATGTCCCTTTAGTGAATTTCAGTGTGGCTATGTTTGTTTTGTTTGATTCTAACTGTAGTTGATAAATGTGTCTCTATTCAGCTCCACATTCTGTGTCCGAGAAAGATTCTGAGAATGCCCCTCCAGGATTTCCAGGATTGGAGACAATGTTGCCATTACTTTTGACAGCCGTTCACCAAGGAAGATTGACCATCGAGGTAAGTTTCATGATATTATTTTATTCCTCTAAAGGTAAAGTATGGATCATCTCTTATTGATCCAGTGTTACTACAGGAGGAAACCTAAACTAAACTAACTTTTTTTAAACTGGATAGCTCTATCAGTTCTAAAACTGTTCTTCATAGAGGTCCAGTAAGAATCATCCCTTTGTGATCCAGTGTTACTAACGGAGAAAACCTAAACTAAGTTTATACTGGATAGCTTTATCAATTCTAAACTGTCCTTTCTAGACTGCAAACACACAAGTGAAAGACGCTTGAACTAACCACATTAATCTCTCTTAAGGATATCATACTTCGGCTCCACACCAACCCAAGACGTATATTTGGTTTGCATGAGCAACCTGACACGTACATTGAAGTCGAGGTGGGCTCAGAGTGGACGATACCTGACGCTATGAAATACACAAAGTCGAAATGGACACCTTTCGCTGGCATGAAGGTCTACGGATCTGTTAAACGTGTCTATCTGAGAGGACAAATTGCTATGGTTGATGGCAAGGTTAGGAAATTAGATTTAATGCAGTACTTACTGCTTTGCAATGTTTTATTCAGTGTTTCACTTTCAACCTTCCTCAATGTCAGTTGATCATTGCAGTGCTGCTAGTCTGACTGAGTGTTGACTGTTGCTACTAATACTAGCCTGACTAGTCTAGTACTTACTGCTTTGCAATGTTTTATTCAGTGTTTCACTTTCAACCTTCCTCAATGTCAGTTGATCATTGCAGTACTGCTAGTCTGACTGAGTGTTGACTGAGTGTTGACTGTTGCTACTAATACTAACCTGACTAGTCTAGTACTTACTGTTTGCAATGTTTTTTCTACAGGTGTTAACTGAGCCTGGTTATGGTATAGACATTCGTTGCCATGGCTTCGTGCCGTTCACGTCAGCACCAGTGAAACCTCATGCCGTGGGCTCAGCTCCTAGCAGTCCACTAAAGTCCTCCGAGCAACGCTGGGGATTTCCCCCAACTGTGCAGCGTAATTTGGACACGGCCTTCTATTCTGGAGAACATACGTCATCATCACGGCTAGGTACTTAGTGTAGGCCTTCTTCATGCTCAATCATCTCAGATTTGGTATGACATCGAATTTGCTCTGTAGAGACAAAAAACTCTTCTACGAACTTTAACTTTGTAAAATTACCCGCCTCGTTTGAAGCTATTGTTTTTGTGCACTTATGCAAATTTGGGAAGTTTTTGGTCTCCTAAGATTTGGTCGAGTTTTGTTGAATTTAGGGGGGGGGAAGCATTCACAATCGTTAGAACCATATGTAGATTACCTGCTAAACATGGGATGATTTGTCAAGACGTTTTCCTCTCTTCTTAGACGCCATAACTCCAGCTCATCCGCACGACGGTCAGCAGCCCACACCAGCGTCGTATCCCGCCGCTCTTCGTCCATCGCCGCCAAGCATTCGGAAATTCATGCTACCGCCTACGTCATTTCATGGCTTGCATAAACATCACGTGCTCTCTGTAAAAAGCTTCACAAAGAAACAGGTGAACAGAGATTTCACTTTCATCCCTTCGACAATTCATGGCTGATTTAATAGTTAGGAAAGGTTTCGGAACACCCTGTATTATATAATCGAGATAAACCTCGACGTTTTAACCAATAACAGCTTTGAGGTTTTCATTCACAACTACAGGCTTTTACATTCTAAACTACAGGGGCCGGTTGCTCGAAAGGCGTTTAGCTTAAACGGTGGATAAGTTCAAAATGAAAAACAAAATTATTCATTTATTGAAAAACTGAGCCGAACTATTTCGATGTAAATAGTTTAATTGTCAATGAAAGTATATATTTAATGCATAAGATGTAGGTTCAATCATTTACAAGATGTATGAGAGTATTTTTAAACTTTGGCTTATCCATGCACCGTTTAAGCTAAACGCCTTTCGAACAACCGGCCCATGGCTTTTACATAAGTACTGCAAATGTATGATCCTTATTGGATTTTAGTTGCGACACCTATTCAATGTTGCTCACGAAATGAGAATGGTCGTTCAGAGAGATGGCTACGTTCCTATTCTTGAGGTATTGCCTGGAATTTGCTTCATATTTTCAAAGGCAACCATCGTCGCGATATGGACATCGCTATAGTAACTTGTGTCTTGTACAACTAGGGTCGAATCATGGGCTCCATCTTCTTCGAAGCAAGCACAAGAACATTTTGTTCTTTCGCGGCCGCCATGCAAAGATTGGGAGGATCTGTCATCCCTTTGAAGGTTTCTGATTCTTCAACAATGAAGGGTGAAACTCTTTCTGGTATGAATAATGATGTAGAATATTATTTTACCTGATGATGATGATACCATGATGTCGTGACATTGTGGATCCCTAGAATGTAAAAGGGTCTAATGAGTCATATCGATTTAGAAACCCAGTAAGAATCATCTCTTATTGATCCAGTGTTACTATACAGGAGGAAACCTAAACTAAACTAACTTTATTTATGCTGGTTAGCTCTATCAGTTCTAAACTGTTCTTCCTTGAGTTCCGGTGAGGATCATCTCCTATTGATCTAGTGTTACTACAAGAGGAAACCTAAACTAACTTCATTTATACTAGATAACTCTTTCGGTTCTAAACTTTCTTCCTAGGGACCTCGTGTCAAAAACAGGGGTCGAGAAGATCGTGTAACGTGGGCCTAAATATTTCCACCATAAATTGTGGCTCGTATTTTTCAGATACTGTTCAAATGATGCAATCATATTGCGATGTCGTTGTCTTGCGTCATCCGACCCCCGGAGCAGTAGAGGTAGCTACATAATCTTTGTGTCCTCCACGTGTCGGCCACGTGATTATTGATGGAGAATACTGTACTGCTATTTCTAGAAGGCGGCGAAGAATTCTCTGAAACCGGTGATCAATTGCGGTGATGGCGTGGGGGAACACCCAACCCAGGCCCTTCTCGATGTCTTTACGATTCGTGAGGAAATTGGCACGGTGAATGGTTTAACGGTAAGTATAGGGGAGATCTCACAGAACAGGAATATACGAGCTTTTACCCGTTTGAGTTTGGCATTCGGACCTGAATTAAAATTTTAGTAGATCTATCCAGTGATTACTATAAGATCAGGATTAGGGTAGATAGCTAGATTTTGGGAGAGCCCACATTTAAGGTGAACACGCTTATCGGGAGATAAACATGAGCTACATTCACACGTGTCTGAAGATCAAGAAAGGATCTTGTCTTTATTGTTGTAGGTAACAATGATTGGTGATCTCAAGCATGGACGAACGGTTCATTCCTTGGCGCGGTTGCTCAGCCTATATCGAGTGGATCTCAGATATGTCTCTCCTGAAAGCCTAAAGATGCCCAAAGAGGTCAAAGATTATGTTGCTCAGCGAGGAATTACTCAGGTTTGTGTTTACACAGTCAGTGTTGAGTTAAGTGATCTGCAAGGGCCAAGGGTATACTTCCACTGGAAATTGTTATAAGTCCTACAGAGACCGGTTGTATCAAGCCCGTTTAGCTTAAACGGTGGAAAGTCAAAATTAAATAACACTCTTACATCTGTCTTGAATGAGTCAACTTGAAATATAAACAGTGTCTTTGTATTAAGGTTAAAAACATTTAGTTCGCTTCTTGAATAAAACAGTAAACTTGCTTTCTTTTTTGAACTTATCCACCGTTTAAGCTAAACGGGCTTGACACAACCGGGCCCTGAACTACACAAGAATCGAAGGATTTCAAGAAAGTTATATAATGTTCACGAAAGTCATCTTTTCCTTTTGAGAATTTTCTTTGAATGCCATTCATTTTTAACAGACGGAATATACAAGTCTCGAGGAAGTGTTACCAGATTCAGATGTTGTTTACATCACACGGGTCCAAAAAGAAAGATTCAAAAGCGTTGATGAATACATTAAGGTTAGTCATTCACAAGATGCAGTGTTTTTGTATGTTTTAACTTTGATCCACCGTTTGAGCTTACACACTTTTCGAACAATCGACCCCAGAGCATCGTTTGAAAACCTTTAAACCTATTCAAAAGCTATGACCGGCCTCTAACAGTTTTCCCACGACTTTCCTACAGGTGTCTGATCGTTATATTATAACGCCAGAGATTTTAACCAAAGCGAAAGAAAAAATGGTGGTGATGCATCCTTTACCAAGAGTTAATGAAATCAGGTAGGGCATATGCTGAAATATGTGACTAACAAAAACACACTTACAGTATATACACTAAATTGATCGATCGTATTAGGCCTCTGACAGGCGTCTTGGCAAGTTTTTTGTTACTAAGTTTCGCTTGTGAAATCGTACATGTTCAACGTGAAGTTAAACCTCCTACAGTTTTTCCCCTCGTGTCTTCTTTCTTCGAAATAAAAAGGTTTTTTATACTAAGAAAAAGGTCTTTGAACGATGATTACAAGTGGAGTTTGATTTGAAGGTGATTTGCTGTCTGTAGTGTAAACAAACTCTTCTTTCACCTTTTCAACTGCCATATTTCGTAATATAACAAACTGTCTGCAAATCTAACGTGTTATGGTTCGCTATATGGTTCTAAATTACGGCTGAGTTCACATGGGTTTGGAACTATGCTGAAATTCGCCGGTTTCCTCACGTGAACGCGGTAGAACCGTTCAAATCTTCATCCATTTTTCACCCTGTGAACACCTTAACCAGAGTTCTTGCATGTCGAGATCTTGTCCATGGGCAGATCCGTCTGGACATTACCTTTTAAACTGGAATTAAAGTTTACATGAAGTTTCTGTCGTCCTTTTCAGCACTGAAGTAGACACAGATCCCCGGGCTGCCTATTTCCGTCAAGCAGAGTATGGTATGTACGTTCGCATGGCATTGCTTGCCCTGGTCGTTGGCAAGTGAAGTTCACTCCTATTCTATGAATCAAATGAAAAGTAGGCTTTGATATTTGTTTTAGCCGAATTTAGCGTGTTGCGAACTAGATTCGTTTTAGAAACATTTGTATAATTTGAATGTATACCATTCATGACTTCGTTGAAACTTCACAATGGATATTTAAGCGAGAAAGAACAGTGCATGTTATAGTTCAGATGAGTATTAGAAACAGTTTATCGAGAGCTATTCACTTTAATAATTAGTCGTATGAGGTCTATGTTAGTCTAATCAATACCTACTTATGCATTATTATAAACAACCCATTTTGGACGATGTGAAATAGTCTGAATTAACTGAGTTAATTAAATGAAGAGATAAACCTACACACTTTTCCATCGTTAAGCTTGATGTGTTTATGACACTTACATAATTGAATGCACGGAGACGAATCTTTTCATTTAAATTCAAACGCATCACGAAGATTGTGACAGCACGCTATTATAGCTCTCGTTTTAGCTTAACAATACATGAATTTTGTAGCATTATGACAGGGTCAAATACATCCAAAAACCATCAAATAATAGTTTTGTAGACCTCTAGAATACTATATAAAATTCACAATTTCACTATCGGCCTGGAATAAAAAACTTTCCTAGCGTTCTCAACGGCAATATATAAGATGAAAGTTGCAATATCCTAAGGCTATTTTTCCACTTCAACCCTATTACAAAACGTTGCATATATTGCTTTGTTAAAATCGTTATTGTCCTCCTGAATGCTCAGAGAATCAATGATTTACGCTAACGCTTTGTTAAGATATGCTGTTAATTGTGTTTCTTGGTCCGGTGTGAATACTTCGTCACATCGTAAAAACTCTTGAAGGTAACAAGCCATTAAGATTTGTCACTCCACGAGCAATCAGTGAGCTTAAGCAAGTGACGTTTTTGACAACACAAACGGGATGAGTAACGTAAAAAGACTGGGTCAAGGATTGTGATTGGTGAAAAACAAAAACTTTACTTCCGGTTAACGTACGTGTTGTCAAAGACGTCACTTGCTTATATAAGCTCACCATTAATTCATGAATTCTGTCAAATGAGATGTTGTGACATTGTGGAACCGCTAGAATGTAAACGGGTCTAATGAGTCATTGTCGATTTAGAACCCCGTTTACGCAATACCGGATTCAAATGGTCACGACATCAGTTTAAGTTGTTTTATGGCATCTTTATCCCAATAACTGTTTTATTTGGTGGCAGATCATATTAAGACAATCATACTTTTGGGGGTAAAACTCGCATTGACATGGCTAGATTTGGGTAAAACTCGCTTTGACATGGCTAGATTTGATATCGTGACGATGCGAATAGTGTATACATGGTCTTAGTGTCAAAAATGGCGGCAAAATTTCGTATTAGTTTTTGAAAAGCTCGCTCACTGGTTCAACACCGTAACTGAGATATTGGAATGTTGTCGAAATCGTGTAAACATCTTTCTGTTTATCTTTTTTCTGTTTTCGCGGCGTAGACGAGGAATCCTGCCAGACAAAGGCCTTTTCATTTGTATGGGTCTTTATCTTCGCCACAAAGTCAAAGCACTTGATACAACAACTTCTCGGACAAACAAATTCCTCAAAGTTGACCTTCAATGATCGCACAAATTTTGAGTGCGAATTATTGTAGACCGCTTGCAGAGTAAACTAGGACAATGTGTCACCACATGCTTTTTGATCTTCTTTTCACCTTTAAGTATTTTTTTGTTGAGAGCTTTAATGTATATAGCTTTTGATGACTCATTTTTCCATCAACTGTTCCTGGCTTGAATTTGAATTGAAGGGTGTATAATTCCACTCGAAATTAAGACCCTTTCAACCTCTAGAATTTACCTGCATCGAGTGAAGTGCCAAAAATCGTAAAAGCTTTTGAGCGATATGCACAATAGTCAATACCATGCATGCATTGTTTATCTGTCAACGAAAATTTAGTTAAGTGTAATGCAAAAGAATACTCTATATATGGCATATGAAAAGTTTGACCTCTGCATGCCAGGTTTTTGAATGACACTTTTTTTATTTATTTTAACAGCATAATTGGTGCTATTATTTACGAGATACTGTTTCATACAAAAAACATAGTTCTAGAAAACAGCATGAATTTCTAGTACTTTAGTGAAAACAGATGCAACAAGAGCTAGTAGCTCCGGACGTAAACATTTTCCGTTTGACTAAAGTATACAGTCGAAAAATCGAAATAAATGTTACGAAAATGTTTATATTTTAAGTTAACATTGCTGTGAAAAATTCCATGAATTATACCAAGTCTTGTGACCAAAAATCTTTATTGTTCGTTTCCCTGTGTTGTAAAACCTATGATGAAATAAGGGCGTGTTTCCAACGTCAAACTTTTGCTATGCAGAAGTATTAAAACAATATGAACTTTTAGAGAATGACGTGAAATGTTTCTATTGAGTATTGTTCTCTAATGTATATCCGGCTAATTAAATTAAATTAGATTAAGAGTTTGTGCTTGTTTTCAGAAAATCGTAGGTAAGTCGTACAATAAATAGTGTTGGCTTTGTACTTACAAAGGATGCATGTACTTACAAGGAATTGCTAAATCGTTCGTCAAAAGATGAGCGCGATTTTGTAGCCTAAAAATGAGATATTCAGAGATTCCTTTTCAGAGGTGGATTTGAACAATTTTGAGCCAGTTCAGATTTTCGTATATATTTGCATTTTCGATATTTCCTGATCTGTATTTAGACTGGAAACGATGCGTTACGACGTACGTAGAGACAATATCAAGATTCCAATAGTCTCTTCCGAATTCCAATTGATTAGTTAAGGTCATTTTATATCGACTTTGTGTGGCCAATGTTTGTGAATGCAGTGACCATATATAGGGTAGATAAACTACGTGGTTTTTTAGTTATTATTCGATCGACTGGGTAACCGTAGAAAGAAACGAGTTTTCCGGCGCGGTGGTTGTAACGATTGGCGAGTTTGATTGCTCGTAAGGTAAGTATATCACAGTATTTTTACCGCTTCACAAAATATGCAACTTATTAGTTATTTTGTATTTACATTTGCCAGTTTAGGAAAGTGTCGCGGATATATTGGTTTGCGGTTGAAGTACAGAGATTATCGCTGGTAAGTTTTTCGAATCGATGTTGTAATAAATTCAGAACGCAGACCAAGGCTGGATTTCCACTTGCAGGAAAATGAGAAGAGTAAAGCTGAATTAATTAATTTGTTTATTTATTCTGTCAAAATTCCAAAAAATATATGGAAATATTTCGATCTAGCGAACTGTTTCTCTACAAGTGGAAATACAAACTGACTGCCGAGAATTCTCCCACTAAATCCTATTATTTCTTCGACTTTGACGAAAGCGTTTGTAAGTCACGTTGTCGGCACTCGGCATAAATTTTACGCTGTCTGTTCATGAAAAGTGATGTGTGTCGCGTGACAGAATTTATCAATTCGTTTATACTGAGAACTATTGCCCACGCTTGCGATTAGCGTTGATTGAAAGTATAACTAAAAAAATCCAGTCGGTTCGTGTTGACATCAATCATTTAAAATTGATCAAAGATCTCTTTCGCTTTACAAACTAGTTCCTAATCCTCTTTAGTCTTTACCGCACTTTTAGACTTGTGACGACGTCACAACAGAATAGTTGCAATCTAGGATTAAATACGGTTTTCGCTCAATTTCGAAATGAAATTTAACAAATAACAACGATTAAACGTCAAGTCCTACCCATTATTACAAATTCGAAAGATTTCCAAAACTCGAAAATATTTACATTACAATATTTACATAGGTTTTAATTTTTCAATGTCGATTTACTGTTATTTACTGTTATCACAGGTTATTACCGCGACACATCTATGTACAATAATACAATTACTAATGACATGTGTCGGCAGAATTTGAAAACGCAAAAAATTTTTATCCGCGTCCACACGTAAACACAAAAACGATCCGAAAACGCTAAAGTTATATGATCCTGCAATAAACCTTCATGTTCTCCACCCGCGTGTCACAAGTTGGATGTCGAATTCAAAGCAAAAATCTACCAAAACCAAAGTAAAACACAAGAATGAGGACTTTCGGACAGACGACAAGCTCGAACTCATAAATGTTGTTGTTGAAGTATCTATTAAATGCATGTCGTGTATAAGAAATTGTGTATAACCATACTCCGACATTTTGGACATGTTTCTCTCGTAAAATACTTCCGCAAATGCTAAAAGAATTGGCGAAGATTTTACTCACCATGAAAATAACCTAAATAAGACTTATTTGAGGCTAATACAGCAATATAAAATTGAGATTAAGCCAGCAGACTTGAAACAAGCCTCATTAATATGGAAACGACTTGATGCATGACGTCATCGTTTTCAAATTTATCCGGCAAAGCTCTCCACACGTATCCGCTTAGCCGTCGTTTTCAAATTCTTCCACTCTGGAGAGCGTTTTCATATTCTTCCGTTTTCAGTGGGCGAAAACGCCGTATACGTGTGGACGATACGCGTAACCGTGGGAATATTCTTGCGTTTTCAAATTCTTCCGGCATCGTGTGGAAACATTGTGTAGTGTTGTTTTAGGTAAATTATAGCGCGTCGTAACCTGTAACTTTTACACATCTTAAAAGCCCAAGCGAAGCGAAGCCAACTTTAATCTTTAAGTGGTCCGCATCTCGTTGATAGATAGATATACAGGGTGTCCCAAAAAAAAGCAACCACTTAAATATGCAGAACATTAACACAGCTCTAAAGCGCAATAGATAAGCACCTCTGGGAATTGAAAATGGCTCTTAATCCTTCATTTACAATGCTAAAAGTCATTTTAGCTGAACTATGGTGCAAACCCGAACAATTTTAATATTCTTGCATATTTAAGTGGTTGCGTTTTTTTTGGGACACCCTGTATATAGATATAGATATAGATAGATAGTAAATTCTGTCATTCTTCTAAACCGTCGTTCATTGTTTAAAGCGTCGCCACAGCCTGAAATTGTGTTTATAAAGCCCTAAACTAATTCCACGGCCTAAATTTTCAAACGAAATGCGAAATATTTCGCCTGCTTTTTTGGATGTTAGCAATGAAGCAGAATTAATTTAATCAAGTGGTCGAAATTCAAAAGAAACAGGCGAAATATTTCGCATTTCGTTGAGAAAAAGTGCCCGTGGAATTAGGCCCTAACGTTTCTGAATTGCGTTTATACATTTCCAAAACTCTTCAATAATTAACATCACTTCAAAGACACACTGGGTTTGCCGTTTTGCAAGTTGAAAGAAAAATTTCATCGTGTGAAATTGGGTTTGGAATTGATTAATTCAGGCATACAAGTAATGCCTAAAATTTATGTTGACATTGAAAGCTTTTAGAAAAAAACTAAGATTCACACGATTAAAATTGTGGATAATACACCTCTATACACACGTTATGCATGCATGCACGATCAGATAAAGATAATGGATCCACATGTTGTCTGAAAAGTACGTGAACAACAAACGATTCGACAGATAAAATACTTCATGCCAATATTCAATAAGATACATGCAGCATGCATGCAGGCCAGGCAATATCGCCTTCCATCGCATTCGCTAAAATATATAGATGTTTGTAACCTTTATATTCGTCAAAGCTGAGTGTCTACAATTGCATTTGAAATGTTAAGTTTTAATTCATATTTTGTATGATAATGTTTTCATTTTTTGTATAACCGACAGGTGATAATTAGGGTGGCTCGATAGGAATGTAATACTTTAGGATTTCTTCCCTTTAAAAAGGTTGACAGCGTAAAATTTTCTTTTTTTTTAGGTAATTGCCCCCAGCCTAAGTGCTGACTGCTGAGTAACGAAAGCATTAGTGGCCACAGTTTACCAGGGAACCGGCGAGGAGGAATCGGTGTTCTAGTTGCGAAAATCTATTTTGCATAAAATTTCCAAAAGGTAATTTGTCTAGAAACGTTGGAAGTTTCAAACTTTATTATAAGCATCGTTCACTGGACTAAGACTGTAACTGTGCAATATACTCAGAAAGAAGTACAAATCTACGGTCAAACGTTTTAGAGGAAAAAAATGCTCTTTCCATAATTCATTCCTATAGTAAGCCATCTTTACTAGACTTCCTGTTGAGAGCCGACATAATAGTCGACAATGGGTTTTTTTGAAAGATGTTTTTCTCCGATACAACCAGATTAATTCAAAGCATACTGCTGTGGTTGGTAAAAAAACAATTTAGTTTTAGCTCAAGGCTTAAATCATAGTTCTATCGCAACATAACAAGCATTGCTTTGACGTCGCAACCGGCAGCTTGCATGAGTAAACATACTTTATTCGCACGATTTTTCAGCGTCCTATTCGCTGCCACTGGGCTGGAATGCAATTATAAATTGTTTATGCCGACGTTTTCACTGTGATAAATATATATACATGCCAACATGGCATAAAAAACGTAATAGTCGCTTTCCACTGTTAAAAAACAACCAGTGTAGTTAACAAAAATATTTACATTCTAGAATTTAGAAAAGACCTTTTGCTATATTGGTTATAGCCTATAGTATATATATTTTTTTAATACGTATTCATATCCTTATTAATAATATTGCCTTAACTCTACCCTAGTTTACTTTTGAAGAGTTCGCTTGCATTGTATGTGAAATGTAAATATTAAATTCTTCTGACGTATGGAATATAGAGCCAGTGACATTGACATAAGCCGTTATTTTGTTACGTTGTTTTGCAGCTTAACATTACACGCGAGTAATCCACCGAAAACATCCGTCACAAGTCGAATAGGTATAATCCGACAAATATTGGATCCAGTGAAACCATTAAGTTCGAGATAGGAACTCGTATGCTGTGTTTGACGATCCACTGATTTTAATAAACATAACTTGCCGACGAACGGCAGGTGAGTGTAAATAAATTCACACATTTCCCAGACCCAATACTCGTTGCCTGTGTGATACTGAATAGAAACTGGCAGTCGTTCAAATATTTTTACCACAAAAAATGTTATCCGACTTTATAAAACATTTGACGGGATTAGTCAAAAAGATTTATGACACGCGAGTAAAGTTTCTGATAGTTTTAAACAGCCGTCTGGTATGTTCTGAGCTTGAGGAGTTATTGACTGTTAGAAACAATTTTTTTAATCATCACGATGCTTATTTTGAGAATGTTTCTTTGTAACTTTTCACATACGATATAGTTGAATTCTAATGTTTTAGAACTAAGCTCTCAAAGTTGACTACAAAAACAACCACAGTACATAGCTTTTCGCCTTTGAATTTTCTTATCAGCATTGTATGTTTGACTTCTGTATTTTGAAAACAAACCGTATTATACAAAAGGCTATTTGGTTTTAATCTACCTGCATGCCTCTAAACTCTAAAGGCATTTGATAGAGCTTAACGGATTACAACTCGTCCGCGTGTGGTTCAAGGTTTACAGTTTTTAAAGGACATATACAGCCTTTATTGAAATAAGCTGTGAACGTTTGAGTTTCACTTGGATAAAATGGCATGGTATCGTTTTCCGGTTTTACGTTCGTACGAGTCCGGTTTTCAAATCCATCTTTCTCAAAAAGATTATGATAATTTTCATTTTTCTTAATTAAAGGAAGATTATACAGTTGAATGGTTGCAGTTCTAATTACATTATCCTGTATCGCGTTTCAGCTTAGCGTTTCTCATCTGAAATCCCGCCACTGAAGATTCGGAGGTATTTTTCGCCACGGGAAACGAGAAAAAATTTATCTAATTTCCTGGTGCAAAGGAGGCTCGAATAGCGTTCCAAGTGGGTCGATTATTTTCACAAAAAGCGATCCGAAGATTCGTCATGGCACTCGCGAACCGAGGTGCGGATGTCGAAGTTGAGATGGACCCGAAAGGCGAGTCGCTGGTCAAAGGCACCAACTTCGCTGGGAATAAGAATTTTGGAATATTTTCAATTCGTACTCAGATGGAAAAGATCTTACTTGTCGTTGCGGCGATTTTGCTGATTCTGTGCATCGTTTTTATTGCGCTTTTGGCGAAAGAAACTGCGGATAACGATAGCTCTAAAGCATCGACAACTGGTGGCCGTGAAGGTAATTAGAGTTCAATTTTTTTTCTGATCGGGAATGTAGCTGCATGTATTCAGATTCAATGATTTTGTTTCAACCTTTTGCACATTTTCTTCGCGGTAGCTATTTTTCGTCGCGGCCGGCAACTCTGCATCTCATGCTATGAACAATCGCGGTGTGGTTTTGTTAAAGTCGAGGAAACTCATCGATATAGTTTCAGTATCGAATGGTATTTGATAGACGCAAATGAAAAGGAGCGATGACCCACGGGGCTTTGACGATTTCAGTGCGCTTATATTTTCTGTCTTAGTGTCCGTTTAAACCAGAAGAGGCCGAACAAAATGGCAGCAATATTTATTAATCAACTGAAAAAATGCTGACTTAATCACTGATCCAATTCACACCTTGGTAAACATAAATTAAAGTAATTCGCCAATTCTATTTCAATTTTCAAATCGAATACGAAACTTCAGCTGCACATAGACGCGAATTGCGCAAGAAATTCGTTACCTTCTGCTTTTACTGTTTTTAACGCTTCATTTGTGACATATTTACATGTACTTGTGGGGATAAGTCTTGTACCGCGCGCTCTCTTACTAACGGTGTTTTGAAACGGAATAGATTTCGCGTTATCCTATTTCCGATTGTGAAGCCAAAACTTTTCTGTTTTCTTAACACTTTCCGCGGTGTCGGCAGCCTGAAGTTAGGCCCGAAAGCAAAGGTTATTGTAGAGGCCAAATTCGCAAGTAAACAGGGTGAGAACTATTATCACCCACCAGAGATAATCGACCCGTAGACCAGAATATAGGTTGATCAAAACTTCGCAGATCAGAGAAGACTTTTGTTTTCGGAGATTATTATTTGAAATATCCATGCAATATTCGGTGAAGTTTTTGCCGCATTTTTGCGCAGCTGTTAACGCTAAAATTCAAGATAAATTTGCATGTGGTTGCTATGGTTTTTCGTAACTAGATAATAATTCTCTAAATGGCGTGACACGTCAATGAATAGTTGGAAATAGAATTCACGAGTTAGCGCTGCGCTTTTCATCTTTCAAACCGATCGCATATTCTTACGCAAGTATCGGGCTAGGTAATGCATTAGAAACGCATCAACGGTCATAAAATTGATATATCCCCAGTGATAACAATCTAATATGGCACTTCATTTAAAAAAATGAGAAGTCATTTTACGAACGTAAAGCAGATTATCATATAAGAAAAAAGAGAACCGCTTGAAATTATATTTGTTCTTATACCCGTTCGTCATTGCTATTTTTCCTCGCTTTTTTTTTCAGAAATGTTCGTTTGTCATTATTGCTAAAGCACGTATATTTGTTTTGGGAAGTTAGCTGAGTCATGCGTTCTGTCATTGTTGATTAGGAGACAAGCTCTTGACTTGAAATCACGCGATTACACGAGCGATTTTCTCGTTTTATTCCGAATTATTCGTATGTTGTTTTGTGAATTATGTACGCAGTTGTGTAAGCTTTGCGAAGGAAGGTGTAACACTGTAACCTATTCTGTGTTTACTCAGTTTACTCAGGAAACGAAAATCGCCCGTGTAGCTGGGGCTTTGTATAATATAGGAAGACAATTTGTGGTTGGTTTCAGGGATACATGTTCATACATGCTTAGCATTTACTAAATTATAACTTTAGGAAAATAACCTAAACAAACAGATAATAAGTCTTTCGTCAAACATGTTTTCATGCGTGGGAAACATTGGCATGGTCGCATGTATATTAAACAAATATTTTTAAAAACAGCAGGGCTCTTTAAATCATCTTAAGTTATGCCGTGTACGCATGTTTTATAACTATACATACTCCTGCAACATAAATTATTTTGTGTATAGAATAATGGGTTTAAAACGGCCGGTTGTACCATGATTCTTCGAGTTATCATCATGCAGGTTTCAGAGATTCAAATGTAAGCGATAAAACGTGTCTGATCATGAAACGCGAAAAAATGGAAATATTTGACCTTGGATGGGTCACCCCACTGAGGTGATGACGAATGATGTTACACATTTGGTTCTTATCTGAAATGTGTTGCTTTTCGTTTAAACTCTTCGAACACAAGTATATTGTACGGCACCGAAATGGGTTTCGTTAGCAAAATTTTAGAAGGTGCATGAACACTTAAAATTAGTTCGGGTGGTCTGCATGGATACTTTAATCATATTACGTTGTAACACAATATACTTTAAGGTGTCATTGACAGAATTGTCAGGAGGGCTTTATTTATTTGAAGCTTCCAACTCTAATAACACAGAGCCATCCAGTATAAATAAAGTTTGTTTTGTTTAGGTTTCCTCTTGTAGTAACACTGGATCAATAAGAGATGATCCTTACTGGACCTCTAGGAAAAACAGTTTAGAACTGATAGAGCTATCCAGTATGAATAAAGTTAGTTTAGTTTAGGTTTCCTCCTGTAGTAACACTAGATCAATAAGAGTTGATCCTTACTGGACCTCTAGGAAGAACAGTTTAGAACTGATATAGAGCTATCCAGTATAAATAAAGTTAGTTTAGTTTAGGTTTCCTCCTGTAGTAACACTGGATCAATAAGAGATGATCCTTACTGGACCTCTGGGAAGAACAGTTTAGAACGGATAGAACTGCCCAGTATAAATAAAGTTAGTTTAGTTTAGGTTTCTTCCTGTAGTAACACTGGATCAATAAAAGATGATCCTTACTGGACCTCTAGGAAGAACAGTTTAAATAGATAATTTTCCTGCCCATTTCCGGACAATGCAGCTGTAATCAATTTTGCAATCTTCGATTAATCTGTTTCCTTGCTCGGAGATATTTAATTTAGTTTAAATTACGTGCGACATTGTGTAACAGGGAGCCAGATAATCTGTCAATATATTGCCAGCGTAGTTCAAGAGGTGTATGTAAAAAAAACGTTCATCTCGCAAGTTCGTGAGAACGTCTCATGCAAGATGGCCATTTCATGAACGGGTTAAATATATTCAAGTGCTTTTTGTGTGAGTCGACTCTCCTGACGAAGGCCCTCAGGTCGAAACGTCGAGAAGTGTTCTGTTTACTTTAGGCAGTTGTTATGCCACATTTGATGCTAACGCCTCTTACAGACGAGCAAGTTTTCTATGATAAGTTTTTATATATATAACGAGTTTTAATTGGCAATTGCACGTGTGTATGCACGACAAAATGTTCTATGACAAGTTTTTCTTTGACAAGTTTTATTTGCTCGTGGGACAAGGTCTTGTGTTAGAAAAAATTGTCAAAGTTGGGTGCACAGACGAACAATTCAAACTTGTCACATAAAAACTTGTCATAGAAAACTTGATCGTCTGTAAGAGGCGAGGCTTGTTTGAGGACGCTGCCACGCTGCCTCCCGAGTATATATTCAATACGTTTTCTGTCAAAGATATATATATATATATATATATTATATATATATATATATATATATATTTATATATATATTATATTATATATATATATAATATATATATATATATATATATATATATATATTACTATCACGGCAACTATCATAGCGCGACATTTAAATTCACCTGATGAGTGTGGCAAGCACTGCTTGTTATACGAAACAAATTTGTAGTGAATGAAATCATATGAAGTAAACCATTTTTACTGAATTTTATTCCCGTTTTCTCGAATTTTATTTTATTTATATATATCGCCTCAAAATTGTTTAGCTAGCTTTTAGCCTGTCGATACAGTTTGCTCATAGCATGATACACATCACTGTCATATGGCATATGCCTACATACAAAAACCGCTCGCCCAAAGCTTGCTAACTTGGCGCTGATAGCATGTCTTTGAATGGGGTGCAGTTAAAAGACGGGTGCGGATGTGCGGATGAGTATTCTTAAAGCACGGCTCAACGGCAACAGGGCTTTTTGAATCTTCAGTCAAGTGGATGTGGTCCGTCCCTCTGAGATATAAATCAAGCTGAATGATTCGTAGTATTCAGTTTAGTAACTCGAACTTCAAACACTTTCTATGAGGTCGGACTTATAAATGTGCAGGTTTTCAACAAAGGCCTTGGCTTATGAATTATGTAAATATTTCATTCCTTGACGTTGATTTCTTTCATTTCAGCCCAAACGACTGCTGAACCAAACCAAACCACATCAAAGCCTACCGCAATGCCCTCGCCAAAGCCTACCACCAAGCCTTCAGGAAAGTACGTCTATTCCGATGAAGCTCAGCGTATTAAGTTTCCTGACTTTTTGAAGAGGGTTCAGGACACTTATTACGAGTATAATCGTGACCAGTTTGCCTGGCAGTCCCATAAAAATGTTGCAGAAATAACTGATGATTTGAAAACTAGGTCAGTTCCATGATTCTTTTTCGTTTGTGCTAGTTATATTTGTTTGTTTTTAACAGCTGAAGCGATAAATAATCTTTTATCCTTTTCGTTCTAAACGGTTCGTCTCCTATTCTTCCAGTGTTACTACAGGAGGAAGCCTAAACTAAACTAACTTAATTTATACTGGATAGCTCTATCAGTTCTAAACTGTTCTTCTAGGAGGTCCAGTAAGGATAATCTCTTATTGATCCAGTGTTACTACAGGAGGAAACCAAAACTAAACTAACTTTATTTATACTTGATAGCTTTATCAGTTCAAAACTGTTCTTTCTAGAGGTCCAGTAAGGATCAACTCTTATTGATCTAGTGTTACTACAGGAGGAAACCTAAACTAAACTAACTTTATTAATACTGGATAGCTCTATTAGTTCTAAACTGTTCTTCCTATATAGGAGGTCCAGTAAGGATCATCTCTTATTCTACAGGAGGAAACCTAAATTGAACTAACTTTATTTATACTGGATAGCTCTATCAATTCTAAACTGTTCTTCCTAGAGGTCCAGTAAGGATCATCTCTTATTGATCCAGTGTTACTACAGAAGGAAACCCAAACTAACTAGCTAAAAACTGCACTATGCTCGTTTCTAAATCTTCGTCTTAAGCTCATTCTATACGATTCATCAGATATAGTTATTGGTCAGCAATATAAGCCCCGTTTACACAACACTGGATTTATTGGTACGGCACGGCTAAAATGGGTACCCGTGCCCATTTCATCTGTGCTCGGCCTTTGTTTTGGTAGCCTGAATGCCAATAAAATTGGGCACGGGTACCAATTTTAGCCGTGCCGTGCCAATAAATTGAGTGTAGTGTAAACGGGGCTATAGACCCAGTTCAGGTGGTACTTTTTAAATCGAATCGCTTGGTTAAATTTATATACTTGTGACTTTTTTCAGACATCTGGCATACAATGCAACTCCAGCGTATCTCAAAGCAAAAACAGACGCTGCGTTTAAGCTCCTGAAAGAAATCAACTCAACTGCTTTGGATGAAAACTTGATGACGCCACGAGAAGTTAAAGCCCTTGAACAGGTTCGTTTTCGAGAGCTAAGCGTCATAGTTCAATAAGTTCATGCATGGACTTTGCTATTGTGTTTTATTATGTAGTTCTATACTAGAATATCTATCCTTCTCAAGAAAAGGAGAGGAAAATTTGTCACTGATGCATTTTCGATAAAACAGGCGAATATACAGCCTTAGGATTGTCAAGATTTTCTATGGATTTAAAAACGAAATCTGACTGATTTCTTTGCCAACAAAATCCACGCCAGTAGCCATAAATGTTACGTTGTAAGAGCAATGAACTGTAAGGCTGAATTTCCACTTGCAGAGAAATGGTTCCCTAGCGAAATACTTGCATATTTTCTATTTTGCTATAAGAACAATCAAGCTGAACGAACTTATTTATCCTGTTCAGTAAAATTCAAAAGAAAAATGTAAATATTTCGCTAGCGAAACCTTTCTCTGGCGAACCCTAAGTTGTTTAAACCTTCGTTCATACGGCGTTCGTTATTTTTTAGGTTAAACATTTCCTCAGAACTGTATTCGGGGCTCCTTTTGACGAAAACTTTTACAATGGCGATTGGATGCTTGGTCCTAATCACTTTTGTTGGCAGGCTATTTGTTCCATTGCCTATGACATCAACGCTTACGCTTTCTACATCAGCCCCACGAACTTTAGCGATGCTGAAAAAATGATCCAAAAGATTTTGGCCAATAAACAATCCATCTTGCAATACAAGTAAGAGTTAAACAATTAAACAATAGCCTGTATTCAGGAAAGTTCCCGGAATTGAGAGCACCGGTTTCTATGTTTGCAGTATACAGTATCCTGTATTTTGGCGATGTTCAAGATATTTAATGTTTTCGGCATATCACTTAAAAATCGCTTTATGAATGCCTCAATGCCTTAATGAAAAGCTCTGGGGCCGGTTGTATGAAAGCCGGATAGCGCTATCCACCGGATAGTGGTTTTTTCAATCGCTTCAAAATCGCTCGTTATTTGCCACAACTTTGATTAAATTTTAGTATTCTTAAATCGAGGATCCTCTTTAATAATTGTTAATAATTGATAATAAATTTTATCGCTTTTCGAGCATTTTTAGAACGGTTGAAAAAATCACTATGCGGTGGATAGCGCTATCCGGCTTTGATACAACCGGCCCCTGTTCTCGCGATTTATCAAATTTAACGTATAAGTTTATGTTTGTTTTTATTCAACATCGCTGTCATGTCAAATTTTAACGCCTGTATATTCAAAACGTCCACCTACACTTACACTTTTTGAGTGTGACATAAAAATTATGTTATTCCTGATCAATGAAAAGTGCTTTCATAATCAGAGGAAAGATTTAAGGTAAACAACTGAAAATCAAGCTCTTATTCGAGTGCAAATACCACAAAGGAATCGCTATGAAGTAATTGAGATCTTTCGCTCAATGAGTTTGAGTGTGAGTGAGCTTTTAGAATACATGCAGGCGTAAGATTTCATGCACTGTTATTGCAATTATTTCGTTGTTTTACTTAGGTCAAATATGCAACTTGGTGTGAAAACTGGTATGGTTCGTTCCAAATTTAATTGTATTTCTGGCATAGATGCGTTTAAACAAGAGTTCAAAAAAATTTCAAGCGAAAACGATCCTGCCGACGTACTGCAGGAGTGGTTTGTGAAGTATTACATCAGAGCTGAGTTTACAAAAGATTTTTCTAAGAATGACCAAAACAAATGGATGGCTAAATATGGTAAAACGTTTCAGCAATCTGTGAATGACAGTTTGATAGAAGGTAGGAAAGTGCAAGATCATACTCGTAAGATATAAAAAAAAGGGATTTAAGAAGAAGAGTTTAGATACTACAGAAGGAAAACTAAACTAACTTTATTTATACTGGATAGCTCTATCAGTTCTAAACTGTTCTTCCTAGAGGTCCAGTAAGAATCATCTCTTATTGATCCAGTGTTACTACTGGAGGAAACCTAAACTAAACTAACTTTATTTACACTGGATAGCTCTATCAGTTCTAAACTGTTCTTCCTAAAGGTCCAGTAAGGATCATCTCTCATTGATCCAGTGTTAATACAGGAGGAAACCTAAACTAAACGTACTTCATTTATACTGGCTCTATCAGTTTTTAACTGTTCTTAATTCCTGGAGGTCTAATAGAGATCATCCCATATTGACTTAGTAGGCTTCAATCCAGTGTTAACACGACTAATTCAGAGATAATATGTTTGCAGGTATTGGCCAACCTGTCGTTGATCTGATTGATTACATGGAGAAAGTCCACCTTAGGCATTGTCTTCCAAGGGATGTGGCTAGCGGTATAGCAGAACTTCCAGTTGACTTCATCTACTTTGATGGAAATGTAACAGCGAATTCTACGACAAAACGTTTGCCGATAACAAATGATTTACTGGATGGAAAGAAATCTTACAAGAATATTCTACCTTACTTCACCACCAGCGATATTACGCCAGAAAGAATCAACGAAATTGGTCATGAAAGATTGAATGCTTTGTATCCGCAGGTATTTGTAATATGTTGTTGTTTATTTGCTTCTGTTTGTTTGCTTGTTTATTTGTTTACCTGTTTTCCTTAATCCGGACCGGTACCGGTTCTCCGGCTGTCCAGGGACATGTCCATGGCTGTTCAAACCCTACGAATTCTTTCCTTCAGGTGATCGAAATCGCAAAGGCTGTAACGAATATCTCCGATGAAGCGAATGCCATCAAAAGATTCCGAGAAATTCTCAGCAATCAATCGTCCTATTACAACGATGCTCCTTTCCCGGAAATTGAATCAAACGGCACTGCTCATAAACGTTGCACCGACGAGGATGAAGCGAAAAAATACTGCCCGAAACGCTATGAATCTTTGTTAAAATGGAAAGCAACATGTAGAGAGACCATGAGCATGCTCTCTCCAAAGCTCATACCATTGTTTTATCACACTGGTGATAAAATAACCGTACCAAACTGCCCGATTGATATGCTCCCGAGTTTCAATCCTTCCTCAGGCGCGCAGTTTTTCCAGCAGGCGGACGCTAACTGCAAGAGGTCGGCGAAATTTGGACTGCCGTTTTTCTTAGAGAATCATGGACCACGATTTTCTGAATGGTCCGTGACCGCTCACGAATCGTGGCCTGGTCACCATACACAGATACAAGGTAAGATTTGCTTCTAACTCTAAAGCCTGGTTTCCATTTAGTTGTAATTGTCGTGAACATGTCATTTTCACCGATGAGAAATTGTGGGGATGTAAATTCGTCTTCATTCCTGTATTCAAATCTGTCATTGTTGTCTGCAGACGTATAGAAATATTCTATCACATCAGCCAACTTGACATGTTCACGACACTCACGACTAAATGGAAACCAGGCATTAGCGACATTGAACTGGAGAGGAGAACAAGGCGAAACCAGTTCAGCTAGCCTTCCACAGTCATCAAAAATCATAATACAAGTGCAATTGACCATAACAAAAAAGATGGCGGGTGTATATTTTACCAGAATGCATTGCGGTCGGAAATCGTTTAAAAACGCGAACTGACGTCTTTTAAAGGACAGGCATAAAACAGGAAGTTATTTTCTTCGCTGTGTTAAAATTTCACGTCATTAGGAGTTTTTCTTGCCATCTTTTTTCAGTCAATCATTTTTAATGCATGCAATGCATTCTGGTAAAATGGACCTGCCGCTATCTTTTTCGTTACGGTCAATTGCCAATTCATACTGACCTATAGTATTACTGTCGAGCATGCATGCTGACATTGTACATTTCTCGATCTTTTGGTAACTTCTCAAGATTATATTTACTTTGAATTATTCTGTGCGGAGTTTCTATGCACACGAATCAAACTATACGTTCGCCTGAATCCGAGAACTTTACACCTGTTTTTTCTGCGATTTTTTCAGCTCAAATTGAGTATTTCAAGGATAAATATGGCGGCGTTCCAAAATGGATCGACGATAAGACATACTACACGTTCTTCACCGAAGGATGGGGCTTGTATTCAGAAAACCCTGTCATCGCTAAAGATACGAACACTTATGATGGCCAGCTGATGCAGAAATTTGGCATGCTGAAGTGGCAGGTAATAAAGATCGTTTGTGTTTTAACATTCCTTGTTTCGTTGGGAGGGGAAGCCATACGTCAAGTAATCGTTGAAGAAATGAGAAGTATATCCGATTTCCTAACTCGACATAAGCTATGACATTTCCTAACTCGCATAGCCTCTTACAGACGATCAAGTTTTCTATGACAAGTTTTTATGTGACAGATTTTAATTGTTCGTCTGTACGCCCAGCTTTAACAACAAGTGTACTTGTCATAGAAAAAAAATGTCAGAGTCGGCCGTACAGACGAACAATTCAAACTTGTCATAGAAAAATTGCTCGTCTGTAAGAGACTTAAGGCCGGTAAACACTTTTTCGGCGACAAATTTCAAACGTCTGAACAGGGAAATTTTAGTGAAAACAGTGATGTAGCCTAGTGTGTGTCAGCCTTCACAAACAACTTGTCACGAGTACACATATATGTTTGTGTATGTTATTATGCTTAATTGTATTTTACATTGTGTGTGCAATTTTTTGCGATTAATAATCTCTCTCCCTCCACATTTCATCACCGAGTATATAAATTATAGTTGTCTTGGCCTTTTTTTAACAAGTCTATATATAAGTTTTCTCTATGAATGAATTATTTTCACTCATATTTCTTTTAATTTTTAGGTTTGGAGAGCGCTTCGTCTGATTGTCGATACCGGTCTGCATTATCGAGGCATGAACAGGTGTGTATGTTTGTGTACACCGGTAAAAACCCCCAGTTGTCCCTCCGTAATCCTACCCGATTATAATTGGACGGAATACATATTTTGAGCGAAGCGATTGGCTTCAAATGTTCATACCAGTACGTGTACAGTGTTAGTATATAGATCATCGCCTGAACTACGTCATGTTTTGCTCTTTCAGAACTAGAGCACTGTGGTACTTCTCGGAATATGCCTGGGACAGCTCCGATTTGGCGCAGAAAGAGATAACTCGTTACCAGGGCGTTCCCGGTCAAGCGACGGCGTACATGTTGGGTCAGCAGAAGCTCGTGCAGCTCCGGGGGTACGCGAAAAAGATGCTCAACGAATCGTTCAACATTCAAGATTTTCATTACCAGGTTCTGTCGCAAGGCTCGGCACCAGAAGCCTATCTTCAGAAACACGTAACAAAATACGTGCAATGCAGTCTGGGAAAACTAAATGGTACAACGTGTGACGTAATTTTGAAACCGCCGAAAAAGACTGCCACCCAGAGCGTTGCGGACGAGGGACCTCCCCAGCCTCCCAAACGTCATCACTATTAAAGAGTTTTAATGCTTTCTTAATCCGATAGGAACGATTGTATAAATTGATCTCGTTCAAAATTTTAATCATTACGTAATCGTAGTCACTGATCTGCAAACCAGAACTGGATAGTCCTAACATACTTTTCAAATGCATTGACCAATTTTACGGAGAAAATATTTTAAACCATTGACGACGTTCAAATTTCGGCATTGTTATTTCACTGTTTTTGTAGAATGTGTTAGTGCAACGGGCGAAATCATTTCTAAAGAGCCAATCTAGTTCACTTCTGATGGATGTTTTATAGTCTGTTGTCTTGCAGTATATATGGGCGGCAAATCGACCAAAGCCGATGCATTATTGCTTTATTGATAGTAGACTACATTACATACGTCAGAAGTGAATTGGCCTACACATAATGGATCACAGATTGATGAGACCTTGGTTAAATCTTCCTGCGTCTATTCCAAATACACTTTCAATACAATTATTTCTAAGGTGGTGCATTTGAATGTTGATATATAGAAACTTGCAAAGCATAGTCAGAACTGTTTTAAAATGGGCCCTGATGTGTTAGTTAGTAATATATAACTACCAGATGCAACAAAGCACCTAGTTTTGAAACGGGCCTTCATAAACACTTATTTTATAGCATAGTTTAATCATTAATTAATAAACGTAAATTTTCATTGATTGAAAAATTACTTTTGCCATCAATTATAACCGGATAGCTTTTATCAGCTATAACCCTGTCTTCAAGATTATTGTCAAATTAGGAAATCACCTCAAATTACTAATTTTTCGTATTTTATTAGACGAAAAATTTGCGTACCTATTTTTTACAAATGTCGTATTTGTGGCGCCTGTAGATTTTAAGGGGTTCAGAAATCGGGCGTCGCAGGATTTGCGGGTAAGTAACATGCGTAACATATTGACATACGTCCATTTAATACCACGGCTTAATTAATCGCCATTTAATCCACACGCCATGCTAAGGTTTCATGTTTGAAAAGTATCTTGTTTGCAAACAGAATCCGATGCGGGGAGACGGTTGTCGAAGTGCAGACCAGAAATGGCTCAAGTCGCTCAGAATCGTTCGCGGAAAGCCGAGCTAGTTATTGTAAGCGAATATTTGAGACTTCGTTTGCATTGTGGGCAGCCATCGATGATAAAGGACAGACGATACCACGCTCGTTTGTACCAGAAGTGCTTCGTTGGTCGTGAACTCGTCGACTGGCTTGTGGAACATTTGGAAGCGACTAATCGAAATATCGCTGTCCAGTGCATGCGGGCTTTGCAAGATATTGGATTGATACATCATGGTATTGTATATTTCTATGTTTACGGACCTAGAATTTAATTAGACTCTGGCGTATACGAAATGCTCAAATTTGCACGTTGGTACCTCGTCTGCCCTGTACGAGTCGCACGCTCCAGGCAGCTGGGCACAACTTAATGCGAACACGCGAGTTCTCGCCCGAAGGTGTGAGATACTTGTCCGGATCTTGAGTAAGGCTTTCTCTGCGCTAAAAGTAACGTGGAGTAAGGAATAAAGGCTGGTTAGGACGTGTTTATGTTCGCCCGAAGCCGTCTAGTTCACGTTTCTCATGCATGCTAGTTCGCATGTCTATAGTTGAACAACCGTTCTGATACCGATGCAGGCAAGAGTTCTTGCTCTATCGCTGTTTCGGCCTGCCATCGTTTTCAGAATTTCGACTGAGCACAGTTAACTGTGGACCGAGCTTGCAGAGCGCGTTCGTCTTCGGGGAAATTACTTTAGAGTCTTGAAATGCAACTTCCCAGCACGGAAGTTTTACAATATCCGTGTTGTAATGAAAGACAGAAAGTATTCAAGTTTCAATTTAATAATCCCCTAGCATTTGTTCGCCGGAAATTCGCATACGGTAACGTGGCAAATTACGGCAATTCAACTGTAGTTTATCCCGAAACTTCAAACTTTTGTTAACCATTGTTTGTGTCAAAATACACAAGTCGGTTCCGTTGAATGCTTGAAATGATAACCTATGACCCGTCGTAGACAAAACAAGTTTTATCGTATATATATTAATCATATATATCATGCATTTTGTGTGTTTTTTTTGCAATAACTTCAAGCACAATAATGTAAATATTTTTCGTTGGCGACAATGGCTAAGGTTTCAAATATTTGCGTTCGGCTCGACTGCAGTGTCTGTCAAGGATCAGAAGTGTCATGTCGATAATTTCGTCACGAAAGAATTGAGAAATGTATAATTGTTTAAAATATGTGACCCCATGATGGTTTTGTATTTAAATGGTAACTTTGTACGGTTGTAATAAAATTTCGCCACGTTTGTCTCAAGATAGTTGTGCAAAGAATACACAAACATCGCTTGAAGTGACATCTTTATACCTCACTGTGAGAGGTTTTGTAAAAACACCGGAAATATAAGTGAGTAAAATTAGATTCCTGCTTAACTAATGGCGACTTGGAAATTAAGCACTTGGAAATTTTGAAACATAATACACATAATTGCAGGGTTTCGAAGTTCAGCCGGTAGAAAAAACAATAGCTGATATACGATATTGATTTTTTTACAACCTTTTTTTTTATTGTTTAAAATATTTATCGTCAACAAAACCTATTTCCAGCCACGAACACGAGATTGAATTTGCGAATGACGACGTGATACGCATTCCCAAATAGTCGGTCCTTGTTCTTCGAGAATACACTACATACTTGATACTTTATGCGCGAATGCGCCGATTAAGTGTAGATATATCGGGAGAAAACCTATTTGCCTTTGAGCTCCGGAGTACGACATCAAGTTATCATTTGGATATAAGAAATTTTCGATTCAAAGGTGTGGATAAATTTCATTTGGGAAGTAAAAGAAAGCTTGGTATTTCTCTTTCAACGACACATTTCATCACGTGTGGTTGACAAGTTCGAAAATTACCATTAACAAAATGAAATTGATAAATCAAATTAATGCATGAAACCTTTTTCCTTTTTATTCGAGAAGGCAGTATCAGAACTCCCTTCGTCTCTCGCAAAACACTTTGAAAGTTTTCAGTTAATGATTGTTCTTTTGATTATACTCTAGTATGCGACGATCATCAATTTAAGGATCAGATGCTGTTCTACAGATTTCGTCGGGATGATGGTAGTGGTGGTTTTGATAAGGAAACAGAATTTGTATTCCAAGCCGTCGACCTTTATAACAGGTTTTTAGAATTTCGAGTTGTTTTAAGTAAACGTAGCATATTACAGCCGATGCATGAAATCAGTCAACTGTTTTTATTTTATTTTACTTTTCTATTTTACTTATGTATGATTAATACCGTTAAAGTCATCCTCAATGTTCTCACTGCATAACATCTGTGACCAGCTCTCCTTCATCTCTTCTTATTACGTGTTCATATCATCTCAACCTTGCTTCCTCATCTTCTCTGCAACGTCTACCACCTCACATCTTCTTCTGATCTCTTCATTCCATAATATCTCTGACCAACTCTCCTTCATCTCTTCTTATTACGTGACCATATCATCTCAACCTTGCTTCCTCATCTTCTCTGCAATGTCTACCACCTCACATCTTCTTCTGATCTCTTCATTCCATATATAATATCTCTGACCAGCTCTCCTTCATCATCTCTTCTTATTACATGACCATATCATCTCAACCTTGCTTCCCTCATCTTCTCTGCAATGTCTACCACCTCACATCTTGTTCTGATCTCTTCATTCCATAATATCTCTGACCATCTCTCCTTCATCTCTTCATATTACATGTCCATATCATCTCAATCTTGCCTCCCTCATTTTCTCTGCAATGTCTACCATCTCACATCTTCTGATCTCTTCATTTCATAATATCTCTGACCAGTTCTCCCTCATCTCTTCTTATTACGTGTCCATATCATCTCAACCTTGCTTCCTCATATTCTCTGCAATGTCTACCACCTCACATCTTCTTCAGATCTCTTCATTTCATAATATCTCTGACCAACTCTCCTTCATCTCTTCTTATTACGTGTCCATATCATCTCAACCTTGCTTCCCTCATCTTCTCTGCGATGTCTACCACATTGCATCTGTATAATCAAAATCTCATTTCGTTCTTTTTCTAAAGAATTTTAGCAGATCAAAAGAAATTCGTGGTCTTGCAAGATATTCAATATAACGGCCAAGTATTCAAAACTTGTTTTTTCGCTCGTCGCTTCATTGATTGGCTGGTTTTGAATGGCGAGACTCATTCACGTGACGAAGGAGTTGAAATCGGAAAAGCTTTTCTACAGACCGGAGTTATAAAACAATGTAAGTGATAGTTGTCACAGCTCTAGATAGCTTTATAGCTTTACTAAAACTGTTCTAAACTGTTCTTCTTGGAGGTCCAGTAAGGTTCATCTCTTATTGATACAGTGTAACTACAGGAGGAAACCTAAACTAAACTAACTTTGTTTACACTGGATAGCTCTATCAGTTCTAAACTGTTCTTCCTAGAGATCCAGTAAGGATCATCTCTTATTCATCCAGTGTTACTACAGAAGGAAACCTAAACTAAACTAACCTTATTTATACTGGATATAGCTCTATCAGTTTTGAACTGTTCTTCTCAGTTCTTAATGAAACCTAATATAATTTAAAACTAAATTGCAGTGTCCCCCAGCATCGCTTTTCAAGATGATAGCCTTTACTACCAGTTTCGAATTGAAGATATGAAGACATCAAAGCTGATGAATGTTGTGAACCTGAGCGAACTAGATAAAAACAAGCAAATCACGACCTCTACAAAAAAGGATGGAACACCGATCAAAAATATCGTGCATTTCTTTGATGACATGGCCAAACTTCAGGTCAACAAGTCAAAAGGTTTGTGTTTTTGTCTTCAGAGTTGCCTATTATATGGATTATGGTATCCGTAATATCAACTTGTTATTTGCAAATGAGAACCTGTGTAGATGTGCACGAAATATTGTGCTGACAAAGAAAGTATTGATATTTGACGGACATGTTCAGGACTTTAGAATTTCCAAGAAAGGTTCAATATTTCTAGTACAACACTTCAAAAGTTCTTTGTCTTTTGTGTTTTACAGTCTGACCTCCCGTGAGGCTGGTTACAGTTGCTTTGGTTTTGCGGTAGAGTTATATCTTTAATATCTAAGACAATAGAATATTCTTTTCGACTAATGTGACAAAAAGAGGTTGAACAGTAGTCGGGAATCCGAATGCAGAATACAGGCTGTAGTTAAAAAGGTCCTATACTTCAAGAAGGTTGCACAGGTCATTAACAAGTTAAATAAAGCGAACGGTATACACGCTGACACAAAGTAATTGATAGGGAAGTCGAGTACTGTTTCTTTCTACATGCATCTCATCAGTTTGGATCAGTTTTATAATGTTTTTAAAGACAAGTCTATCAATCTAGTTATTCTAGTATCCTCTAATGTCATTAACATTGTCACGCGATTGTTTCACGAAATTCATCACGCACGTCATTTCCAGTGCAATATCTATGCTAATATCAATGCATGTCTAGATATATTCATTTTCCATATTAAGCTGTCTCTGTAACTGATCAGTATAGTTTATGATCGTGTCTTCAAAACTGTCAAACTTGTTTCAGAACTAAACAGACGGCGCCATTCAAGCTTCGACACGCCTCCAAATACTCCTCCAAACATGGAAGACGTTCAAATTTCGCCCAGACCAGGTAAAGATTGAATGTATCTCGTATAGTAAATAGCGAATGCCTAATCTCTGAAAAATTGTACGCACGAGTCAATGCTTCAACACAGCCTTCATGAAACCTTGTATGTATACTTTAATCATATACCAGTCATGTTCCGTTGCAAGTGATTGAATGTATCCCTGAAGAAACTATATCGTACCACTGTATTTATTATAACGGCAGATACCTTGAAGTTATATGACCGATTAATTTCAATTGATTTCAGTCGTACTGAGAGATGTGACCGTTGAAGAGTTAGAAGACAGAAGAAACCCGTATGTCATGACAAAAATATCTGTAAGTTTGGGCCAATTTAAGACGCCGAATTTCACAAGCCGAGCTTGCCTGAAATATGCAAATAAAAACTTCGCGAGATTTCGACCGGCCGCCCTCCATCAGGAGTTTAAAGCTTTCACCATACCATATTTCGACGAGACATCATGAAGTTCTCGTGTTTGTTTAAAGACCGTTATTCACTCGAATTCACTCGCTATTTCTGTTCAAAATCATCTAGATTTTGCGGGATGCTGTTGGATATGGATTCGTCGTTCGCGGTAGTATGCCTGTCTACGTTCAAACTGTCGATCCTGACGGCCCGGCAGCTGCCGCAGGCGTGAAGGTCTGTGTAATCATAAATATCCCAAACAGTCAAATGCATTCAATCTGTAATTATCATGATGTTCTTCCACAGGTAAGGCAGTATATTCACTCTGTGAACGGAAAGTATGTGTTAAGATGGACGCATCGCGAGGTTGCGGACGTAATCCTGAACTCGCCAAACGTCGTTGAACTGGTGGTCATGAACCATTTCAGGGGTTCCTAGAGAGATCGTCTCCGCTTGCGTAAAACACTGAAGTTTCGGACTAAATCAAATCCATTCAGGTTTTTTGGGGGGGTCTTTAGTCGATTTGTCCATCGGAAAGCCTTTGATGGTGAGTTCAGAAATGGTTCATAGTGTTGCAGTATGATTGTGTAAATATATGGTTGGTATTCGGTCTGTGACCTCCAGCGACGAGAATCTAGGATCATTGGTGTTGATGATTCTTTTCTCAGAAGTTAAAAAAGATATGCCCGCTTGGGCAAAATTGGTTTTGAGCTTTTTTAACGCTATCTCCCTCTTCCCTGTAAAGGTGGAGGGGATAGTTCATCCTACAGGGGCCTCTTGCATGTGGGAACAACTTCACAAATGCTGCTTACTTACAGCTATAAACTGTGATCGAGCGAAGACGATTGGACTCGACCAGCTTAGATAAATCATACAGCTAAGCTTGGTCTATATTGGACAACATTTTAAAAGTAAACTCCGTCTTCCGTACAGTTAAAACTCATGAGAGGTTTAACCGTTTAACTCATTTTAAGATGTGATGTTGGCCATAGTTCTTGTCTCGATCAAAATTTTGTTTACAGCTGGAATCCTACATTACCATTGTCATCAGTGGACAATACAGGAAAATAGTTTGGATACATAATATTGAGAATATACAACACTAGCGTTTTATACTGCATTTTATAAAGGTTCAGGTATAAATTTTATAATGAGATATACTTTTTAATCACCGTTTGATTTGAGCTTAAAGTTTTAGTCACGAATTGTAGAAATTGTGTCAAGGTATGTATATAGTTTATGCAGTCAGATTTTACATTGATTAATACAATTAATTGCCAGGGGCCAGTTGTATGAAAGGCTAGTTAACTTTCAACTGTACTTACTGTAGTTAAGGACAGAATTGGCCAATAAAAGTCGTGTATTTCTAAGAGTTAACCATGCAAAATGTAGTTAACTAGGTTAAAATGTGGAGCTAACTGGGATTTAACCATGCAAAAAAGAGTTTTATACAACCGGCCCCTGATATTTACCTCTGTTACCCAGCAATGAAAATGTAAATACTATGCTGGAAAAAATGCGCACATACAATTAAATTATTCAGTATATATTTTAAATTTTTACGGTAGTAATTTTGTAAATATAAAAATATCGCTACGATGTAACTGTTTAACTACTTTTCGAACTTTCATATTTTTTTATGCAAAAATAAAAATATAGTCACAACGATCAAATGGATTGCTAGTTATAATCTTAGTGAATTTATTCTTATTTTATCTTCAACTCTTCCTGGATTTCCGCGGCAAACGACGCGAAAATTGAGTGAGAAACTGTTTATTTTTTAACAGGGACCTTGCAAGGAGCGGCTCCCTTGCAAGGAGCGGCTTCGCAATCTGCATAGGCTGCCCAAGACAATTGGAAGTTCGTTTGTTCATGATTTGAAAGCATTGTAAAATGAGTTGATGAAAATTGAATTGAGCGAGCTATCATTCGATTGGCGAATCTTATTTTGCAAGCAAGCTAGCTAAACTGTTTTTCGAAAGTAAAGCACGCAAACATTTTATACTTTGGTTAAATTTTTCCAGAAAGAAAACTACCAAAGATTAAAGGGAAGAAAGGGAAGTTCATACCAAATTAGTGATTTTCCTTGAAAGCAGGAATTTGGACTGATATACAACTTCCTTTGTTTGATACTTAAGGGAAATTTAGGAACCTCAGATATATCGCCAAGGAATTTTCCAAGCGAAGTTTCTGAATTTCAAAATGGCCGTCGACTATGCGTCTGGTTTGTCTGATTATCCACATAAAGGAAAGTGTGGAGCGCCAGAGGTTTGTTGTTTTTCCTTGTTTCTTTGTAGATACAGTCTCTCGTTCAGCCAAGTTCTTTGTGATTTGTTTTTGTGTTGTACTGTGTGCAAAATCATTTCATTTCTTTCAATTTCGATATGAAAAGCGGCGTGCACTTTTTAAAGCATCTTGTGGACAATGCATTTATCACCTGCGATCTGACCAAAAAATACAAAAAAATTCTGTGTATTTTTGGCAGTTGATAAACTGATTATCACGTTATTAAATAAATTAGTTATGTCTTCAAATGCTGCTTTTTTTATTATCAAATTTGAATCGTTTTTGATGATGCACAACTTTGAAAGTTTTTATGCGAGGAATATAATTTTGTGTTTGGGGGGAAATGTAGTGGCTATATATCCATTATTTTAAAAGGTTAACTGCTTTAAGATGAAGGGGAAAGTCACCTGCCTTTGCAGCTTGCGATAGATTGCTACATTAACCCACTGAGTTACAGTGTTCCTTAAATGACTTTTTTATTCAGCTTTATCTGAAATAAGTCAGTGTCTCACATCAGGAAAGAGCTTGAAGAGTGCTGCTTCTTTAAGAATAAACAAAACCTAAATATCAAAATTTATTAGCTTTTTGACTCAGAAGAGGAACTCGAGAGAAAAATAGTTGAATTAACAAAGTTAATCAAGGAATCGAAACACACAGTATTTCACACGGGAGCCGGGATAAGCACTTCCTGTGGGATACCAGACTTCCGTGGTCCAAAGGGCGTCTGGACCTTGGAGGCTAAAGGAGAAAAACCGACGTTTGATGTGACCTTCAAGAGTGCAGAGCCAAGTTTGACACATATGGCAATTGTAGAGCTTGAGAGGGAAGGCTACCTGAAGTTTGTTGTTAGTCAGAATGTTGATGGCCTGCATTTGAAATCAGGTTTTCCCAGGTATGAAATTGTACCTTAACTGTCCTTTATTTACATATCTTGTGCCTAGCAGTTAGAGAAATGATATTTATAATTGTTTTCATTTCAGGTCAAAGCTGGCAGAACTGCACGGAAACATGTTTGTAGAACAATGTGATAATTGTGGAAGGCAATATCTGTTTGGGGATCCTGTCAAGACTCTTGGTTTAAAACGAACTGGGAATTTTTGTTTGAAGGGTGGAAAGAGAGGAAAATGCAGGTGAGATTTTGGACTGATTATATAAGTGAACTGATTACATAACATGAAGGTTTAAATACTTTTTCAACTTTTTAAATACTTTTCCCCATAATCAGTCATCTATTTGCAACGTAATATATTCCAATTTGTTTTGATTTTTTGTTTTCTATTGGCCCATTTTTATCACATGTTTTGCCCCCATACAAAACATGTGTTCTCCGCTATTTATTTTCATACTAATTCTCCTGACGAAGGCCCTCGGGTCGAAACGTCGAGAAGTGTTGTTATACCACATTTGATACTTTTCCAACTGATGATTGTTGGTAATATTTCGCATTCAGGGGTAAACTTCGTGACACAATATTAGACTGGGAGGACTCTCTTCCAAATGATGATCTGGCTGCATCTGAACATCATTCAAGGTGAAATTTTTGTGATGACCATCCAGTCATGACCATATCATCCAGTGAAATATTATTGTACAGTACACGTTTCTTATTACCAATGATAATAAAAATAATGAATAGTAATAGCTACAATTTATAGTGCATGTGTTCCATGTTGTATGTGTTCACCTGATACACATTATGTTCCCCTTTATACCCAGTATGTCCGTTCTTATATACCCTCCTAAGTCCTAACACACTGACTTGTTCCTATAAACTCCCTCTTGTATACACCATCCTACACATTTACTCCATCTGATCCATGACCTTCCTCCCATTTAGACAAGCAGATTTATCCGTGTGTCTTGGCACTTCATTGCAAATCAACCCGAGCGGTAATCTTCCGGCTCAAACCGTGAAACATGGCGGGAAACTGGTCATCATTAACTTGCAAAAAACTAAACACGTACGTCAATTTTGGTTGAAACATTATTGCATATCACTTCTTATAACAACCAGAATATTTGGGTACTTTTACGAAAATAACATTGCAAGTTCGCATGTGGATCTTTAGACTTAAACTAAACTAAATATTTCAAACACAATTGCTGAATTGCAAAAGCCCGTCTACAAGTTCTTCTGGGATTTTAAATGCGTTTTCATCTTTTGATGGATGTGAACGTGTGGATAAGTTACACGGACGTTTAGTTCTGTTTAGTTTACGCTTACAACTACTGATCAGAAAGCGGCTATTCGCTCTTTTGCATCCAACAAGTGGAGATGCAAACTCTTGATGATAAATATATGTGAAAGCTTCACCTAACAGGATTGACATAAACAATTTCTTTCGCATTTTATAGGACAAAAAAGCGTGCTTGGTTATCCACGGTTACGTGGACAAGGTTATGGAAGGTGTAGCAAGACATTTAAACATGATAATTCCACAGTTTGTCCCGATTTCGCCGTTCAAAGACACGGGCGCACCTCCCGTGTTGCAAGCCCCTGTCAAATACGACACAAAACACTGGTTATTGAAAAAAGAGGGCGGTCTTCTCAGAAAGGATACTAAAAAGTTTTCGAGAATTGAATACTTTTGAATCGGGCGAATCTAAAAGAACACCCGATTGGCAAAAAAAATCGAGTGAAAATAAAGGGTGTGAATGTGGAGAGGAAAAATCTGGTGTCACTCCAGTTAAACGCGATCAATCTGAACTGAACTTCGAAGATCAACTGGATGTTAGTTCTTCTTGCGATTCTAGTTTCATTGAAAGAAGTTGGGACCAGGGTAGTGCTGATATAGTTGGGAAAAAGGAATTAAAGGGTGATTGTGGAAGATCAGATTTGACCTCGAGTGAGAGTGGTCAAGATGAAGAAGCGAGGTCAAAAAATACATCTGATCTCCGAAACACGGAGAATGCCTGCAGCTCTGGTTTAGATTGTATCCAATCAGGGGATTCTGCTACGAATCTGGAGCACGAACAATCGAATATCAACGAGAGTTTGATAGTAAAGAACGAGGATCCAAGATCATCTTTGCTTGATCCGAGTGCAACACATTTTCCCTCAAAACATCTCGAAGTTCCACTGAAGAAAGCGAAGTATAACCAGGATGCAGGTGTTTAAACGCTTACGCATGCCCAGACAATGTACATATATTCATACGACAAAGCTATTGTATTGTAAAACGCGTCTGATCTCGCCGCCTGAAATTGCGCAAAGTAATATTTACACAGGCGCCGTCCTTGTATATGATAATTCGCATATTTTACCTTCGCATTAAACATTTTATTCTAAATTATCTTTTAAAGAAATGATATTGTCTATAACTGCGTATTTTTTTAACCGATTAAGACTGATAATTATTGTGAGCTTTTTGAATTTCAAAGTAATGTTTAGGTTTTTACCATATCGCTCCCAGTTCACAGTATAAAACTATGTTCAGAGCTGAAGAGATGTATATCTTGAAGCCGTGCGTTTTTAGCAACGCCGTGACGTGGTATTTTCCTTCGTTTTGACTCTCCGAAAGTTTATTATTTTTTTCGGCTTGATTCTTGTAAGTTTGGTTGCCACATCCAGTGCATAAAAAGATCAGTGTGCCTGTTCTGCATCGAACATGCATGTACCACGACTTAGACCTGTAGTTTTCAAATAATATTCTCGCCTCAATTTTGGCGGGTTTTACAACAAAAACGCAACTTTCGGTCAATTAATCATATGATTTACGGTAACAACGACCAAACTGTCCTTTTGTATATGAGTACAGACAAATTACTGGTATTTTAGAGTGTTTCAAGAACTCTGCATTCAAGTATATTGTTGTTTACATCTGCCTAACACGGGAAACGCAGCTTCGCCGCTATATTCTTAACGAAATACCTTATTTCAATTCAAAATATGACCGGTCTGGCCATTTTGGCCGCTTAAGCGCCCTATGAACGCATGCATGAGCCTATATTCGTGTCGTTTGCAAATACTCGTGAAAATCTGTGAGAATTTATGTCGTTTTTCTTATTTTCCCATCAATAATTAGACTTGTACAGACTACAGGCGTTTTTAAAAATCTACTAACGAGACCATAATGAAGATTCTATAGTGAAATAAAACATTTGAAATGCTTCAGATTGTCTGCTTTTGGTTCCCGAGATTTTCGTTTTGAAATCAATAGGAAATCTCCATGCAACCTGACGTTTTAAAAAGAATTTCACTTTTAGAATATAATGAAATAGTTGAATGCGTTTATTCAAAATGTTTACCCAGTTTAAACTGTTGATTATTCATTAGGAAATTTTAATTAAAAAAACCGCTTGTTTAAATACGTTTCGCAAACAAATTTGTATTTAATAAATGACGTAATGCTTGTAGTTGAACGTGAAAGGTACTTTTCCTGCGTTATTTTTTTACCAAGATTTCTTAAACACGAAAAGCTCTAGTATCGACATCTCAATACAGACATCTCTCTAATACAGATAACTCCTCAATACAGACATCTCTTTAATACAGACATTTCTCTAATACAGACAACTCCATACAAGCATCTCTCTAATACAGACATCTCTCTAATACAGACATCTCTCTAATACAGACACCTCCATACAAGCATCTCTAGAATTTAGGCACCTTTCTAATACAGACAATTCTCTAATACAGACATCTCTCTAATACAGACATCTCTCTAATGCAGACAACTCCATACAAGCATCTCTAGAATTTAGGCACCTTTCTAATACAGACATCTCTCTAATACAGACATGCATCTCTCTAATACAGACATCTCTCTAGTACAGACATCTCTCTAACACAGACATCTCTTTAATACAAACATCTCTCTAATACAAACATCTCTCTAATACAGACATCTCTCTAATAGAGACATCTCTCTAATACAGACATCTTTCTAATACAGACATCTTTCTAATACAGACCTCTCTCTAATACAGACCTCTCTCTAATACAGACACCTCTCTAATACAGACACCTCTCTAATACAGACATATCTCTAATACAGACACCTCTCTAATACAGACCTCTCTCTAATACAGACACCTCTCTAATACAGACACCTCTCTAGTACAGACATCTCTCTAATACAGACAATCCTCCTTATACAATCGCTTCTAATACAGACGCCTCAGACCAGCACCTCTTTAATCATTGCACTAAGAGAGGTGCTCTTGGGCCGCTGTGCAAATTTTAATATAAGTAACAAATGCCCAGCGCAAACTTCTGAGCGAAGTTTATTTTCATAGCGGTATTAAACATTGAGTTTTTTACTTGCTGTTAATTCTGTTGAACAAATGTTAAATTAGCTCGAGGGAGATTCATTTACTCAGGGGTTATGTGAATCCTACTATAATAAGTACCGTTTCGTTGAGAACAGTCTAATTTTGCTTACCTTTTCGTGTGCATATAACGTCATATTGAAAGCGTGTGGATTTTAGTCAGAAAAATGAAGACATTTATCTTCGTGCTCGTTCTGTTTGCTTTGGCTTTCGCCGATGAAGAAAAGAGATTTTTGTTGGACGATGTATGTACTTTTCGTTGATTTGGAATAGAATGATGTAGAATGAATCTATTTGCATGTCCGAGACGTTATAGCCTCAATTTAGATTGATTTGATGTAAGGTTATTAACGTTTAAACATATTAATCTTGCAATTCCTTTAACTCATTTTAGAAATGTAACGATGATAGCGACTGTCCTGGCCAATGCTGCCTAGAACGTTATTGGATAGGAAAGAAGTGCCATGATTATATCTCGGAAGGAAGTCGATGCTATGTACGTGTATTATCATTTTGCTATTTGCTGAAAATTCTATCCCCTGCCCTCATAAAGACGCGGCAATATAGTTTTGATTGCTGGATAACAAAGATTGACGGAACGTCGAATAAAGGTTTCGGAATATTTCCGCAAGTGATGTGTGGTAAAGCATTCATGAATCTTTTTCGTGTTTAAAAAGTTAAAAGTCGATTTCTCCTCTAAGTTGAAAATGGCATGAAGCTGAGAAGCTGAGGGTGGCATTTTGGTGGTTTGGGATGAGATTCAGTGCAAAACACTGTTTAATTAACTGAGAACAACTTGAGCATTTCAACCGCGTGGGACACACAATCATCGCAGATTCTTTCTCCCTCCTACAATGTGTTTTGCTGTGCTTTTAAGCGCTAGCCAAACGGAATGAATGAATCTTTCCCCTTGAAAATCACACTTGCACCGTAGCAATGAAATATTTGACTCGAATCACTTTTTTCCAGGAGTAATATATATGCAATAATAAGCGTGTAATCATTCAGAAATATTAAATATGGATTGGTTATTCTTTAACTAGGGTATGCATGTCTTACTGTAATAACTCCTTATGTTTTTTATACAGCATAGTTCTCTCGGCTGTGGATGCGAGCCAGGAACCTCTTGCCAATACGTATCAGGTGGCGGAGTTTTGGGTCTCCCTTCTTACAGATGTGTTTCTGATGGAGGCGAAGGATCTGGGTCGTTGTAAAACAAACGTCATTGCATAAACATGTAAAGTTTGTGAAGAATAATTAGCTAATAATTAAACGTAAAGAAAAACAACGCTGTCTGTTTGTGTATTGTTTGCCGATGCATTCAACTGATTCAAGCCATCTCAATTAAGTCAATTTGTAGTTTCATGGTTTATTATATGTTACTAACCTTTGCTTAATTCTTAAAACGTGTCTCTAAGGACATTATAACGGAGGTGTCTGGCTAAATGATTTACAATTGTACTAAAGTTTTAACGTAATACAAAATATACAACATTTGCCAAGTTCGCAACGCCATCTCACAGAGTAAATGATAGTTAAGATTAGATATCTATATCATTTACTCTGTATCAAATGTGGTATAACAACTGCCTAAATTAGACAAAACACTCTAGGTTACTCTGTGTTTTATTTTCGAAATATTTCGCAGGCAAATTTGGCAATTTTGCTAAATTTAGTATCGTGTTCATTCCATGCAGACATTTTCTTTTTATCGCAAAGAGAAAAATAGTCCAAATTAAGCGACATGTGATTCAGGCAGCGATAAATCAGATTTTGGTGAAGAAGTCTGATAAGAATCTAATTCGTTAAGGATTTCTGTATGAAGCAGCAAATTTATACTAAGAAAAATGCATTCAAGAAACCCAATCAATATATAGTTAACAGCTAGCCTAAACAGTGAAAATTGTTTTTTAAATTGTGTGTGCCCAGGTGTTATACCAAATGCGTTTATATATAGATCTTGGCTTGATTATAAAAGTGATAGGAAAGTTTGCGGTTTCTTCAGTTCAGTTCAGTTATACATCACATACAAGCAATTGCAAGGAATTTTTTTGTCCGTTTTTCAAAATGAAATCTTTCATCGTCGCTGCGTTGGTTGTTGTTTTTGCCCTTGTGGCCATTGCAGAGGAGAAGCGATTCTTTATTAAGGTTTGCTTGAAATATAGGGAGTAAACCTAAACTAAACTAACTTTATTTACACTGGATAGCTCTATCCTTTGTCAGTTCTAAACTGTTCTTCCTAGAGGTCCAGTAAGAATCATCTCTTATTGATTCAGCGTTACTACAGGAGGAAACCTAAACTAAACTAACTTTATTTATACTGGATAGCTCTATCAGTTCTAAACTGTTCTTCCTATAGAGGTCCAGTAAGGATCATCTCTTATTGATTCAGTGTTACTACAGGAGAAAACCTAAACTAAACAAACTTTATTTACACTGGATAGTTCTATCAGTTCTAAACTGTTCTTCCTAGAGGTCCAGTAAGGATCATCTCTTATTGATCCAGCGTTACTATACAGGAGGAAACCCAAACTAAACTAACTTTATTTATACTGGATAGCCCCATCAGTTTTAAACTGTTCTTCCAAGAGGTCCAGTAAGGATCATCTCTTATTGATCCAGTGTTACTACAGGAGGAAACCTAAACTAAACTAACTTTGTTTTATACTGCATGGATAGCTCTCAGATCAAATCATTATACTATATCATTCTTAGACATGTAGGTCTGATCAAGATTGTCAAGAGGGGCAATGCTGCGCGAAGTACTTCCTTGTTGGCAAATGCCAAAACTACCTCCAAGAAGGAAAGTTATGTCTTGGGGTATGTTTGGTGAAAACCACACATCACTTAAAATACAAACTCAGTATTAATAAAGGATGGTGTAAAAAAAGATGAGATTGACGTTATACCATTCGGATTATCATTAAAAGTAATATGACAGGGTGTAATATGATAATTTACATTGAAAAGAGAGAATATTAAGGCATGTTTATACTTGCAATTTTGCTGCGATTTTATTAGCGATATTCTTCCTTTGATAGATGTGAACGAGTTAATTAATTACTGATGTTCAATGAAGAGCTCTTATTAATCAGTGCATTCGTAACTAATTACTCATTCACATCTATCAAAAGGCAATCACATAGGGTGATGTGCGAAAGGGCTATACGATTAAGTTATACGAGTTTTTAACATTTTGCTTTTCGCGATAGGGTTTTGGGAAGCGTGGTTTGGGTTTCAAGCCAAGCTGTGGCTGTGCTGAAGGGCTATCCTGCCAAAAGTCTGGCTTTTTTCTTCGAAAATGTGTGGTGGAGGAAGGATCTGGCGAGATGTAGTTCCAAAAGTTATACCATCACATAACTCGACTCGTGGACATGCATGCTAAAAATAAAATGATCAAATAAAGTTGAAAAGTAATTAAAAATGAAATTCGCAATTACCTCTCAATTCTTTATCTCTGCAAAAGGCTTCGGAAAACGATTACGGCATGCAACAAAACCAGATTCCAAGTGAAGCTGGACAAACCAACAATCTTTGATGCTCAGCCGCCTTGTCAGACATGGACAAACTAGAAAACAATAAACTGACATTGTTTCCTAGTAAGCAATGTTTCATGAAGGAAGACAAACCAGGAAACATTGTTTCCTAGCCATGTTTCATGAAGGTGGAAAACCAGGAAACATTGTTTCCTAGCCACGTTTCATGAAGGTAGACAAACCAGGAAACATTGTTTCCTAGCCACGTTTCATGAAGGTAGACAAACCAGGAAACATTGTTTCCTAGCCATGTTTCATGAAGGTAGACAAACCAGGAAACATTGTTTCCTAGCCATGTTTCATGAAGGTAGACAAACCAGGAAACATTGTTTCCTAGCCATGTTTCATGAAGGTAGACAAACCAGGAAACATTGTTTCCTAGCCATGTTTCATGAAGGTGGACAAACCAGGAAACATTGTTTCCTAGCCATGTTTCATGAAGGTAGACAAACCAGGAAACATTGTTTCCTAGCCATGTTTCATGAAGGTAGACAAACCAGGAAACATTGTTTCCTAGCCATGTTTCATGAAGGTGGACAAACCAGGAAACATTGTTTCCTAGCCATGTTTCATGAAGGTGGACAAACCAGGAAACATTGTTTCCTAGCCATGTTTCATGAAGGTAGACAAACCAGGAAACATTGTTTCCTAGCCATGTTTCATGAAGGTAGACAACCAGGAAACATTGTTTCCTACCCATGTTTCATGAAGGTGGACAAACCAGGAAACATTGTTTCCTAGCCATATTTCATGAAGGTGGACAAACCAGGAAACATTGTTTCCTAGCCATGTTTCATGAAGGTAGATAAACCAGGAAACATTGTTTCCTAGCCATGTTTCATAAAGGCGGACAAACCAGGAAACATTGTTTGCTAGCCATGTTTGACAAAGAGTTCTCAAGAAACTCTGTGTGACAACAATGCATGCTTCTTTAGGCTAGACAAACCATGAAACTTTGTTTCCACAGCCATGTTTATCAAAGTTAAACAAACCAAGATAAAATTACGCTGCATGTTTTGTGAATCAGAAAACATTATTGACTGCATACAGGCTATTTTGAAGAGCTCAATATATACATTTGTAGGCAAGAAATATCAACACGATTATGTTTTAGTACACGAAAGTACATGAAATCGATAAAGCCGGTGTATCAAGAACAAGAAGAGCATTTTGGCATAAATTAGTATTTAAGCAAACTGTCTGGGTACACATCAGTTGAGTAAATATTAAAAAACATTCTGTTTCCACAGGTGCATTTTTTCCCTTAATAAAAACTAGTCATATATATCTCAGCATAAAAATATTTCTCTTCATTCCACTTGAGGGAATAGAAGGAACTTGTCTGTTTTTTGTATCCACTTGTTTCACTTTAGATATGAGAGCCTTTATTTTGGTCGCCTTGTTCGTCGTTTTGGCTGTGGTTGTAACTGCAGAGGATATCGAGGAGAGACATTTTTTGAAGGTAAGAGACCTGCATATGATGCAGTGGTCATTAGTATACTCATTACAAGATGGACCGACAAAATAAGTAGAACTCGCTTTTCGCTTCATTTCAAAATGAAGCAGTTAGCTCAGCCCGAAAACCATCCGCACACGTGAGACAGAAACGTTTTTATTCCTGTTGTGAAACTGCGGTAATAACAAAAGTATTACTTCACGTCCGCGTCGTAGATTTGGTGTATCTTAAGGTCGCTATAATAGCTAGCTCTCGTGAGCGGCGGGCTTATTCAAAGATCCGCATCCATCCCTTCGTCCCAATCTGAGCCGGGCTGAAAAACGGTATTTTCTCATTGTATAGCGATGCAGATCCGATCGACATTGTCGCAGAGGAGTTTGCTGTAAAGGATTTTGCCGGAGAGCGTGTCCAAAGGTAACTTGAATTTTGATACCGAAAACCTGCGTGCGTGCTTCACTGTTCATAGCAGAGTTTTTGGCGATTTTTCCGCGGCTTTCGTGTATCTTTATAGAAATTGCGTATATGGCGGTATATGTATAGTATATAGGTGTCGTACAATGAAATACCGTGTTTTGTAGAGATGCGAGTCTGATGGTGATTGTCAAAAGGGGCAGTGCTGTGGAGGTTTCTGCCGTAAAAAATGTATTAAGGTGGGTAATTAAATATTTTCTTATGGAATTTCACCATCCCTGACACTTAGTGTGGAGAGAAAGGCGCACTGCTGTAGAACCGCTGTTCACAAAATATGTTGGATTTATGGAAGAGTTTTTGGCGATCAGTTTCCCGCAGCTATATCGTGTAAAAAATCGTTATCCCAAGCGTGAGAATTTTGTCAACATTGGTTAACGTTTTAAAAGATACTCACTTAGACTTGGTTTATGATCAATAATTTCGAAACAAATTTACGAGGACATGCAGACAGCATTCTTCCTTAGCCTTACGGGGTTTTGCGAACCCACAATCTTTAGTTCGAATACCGCTCGAATATTTTATTTCGACGCGGAAAAAATTGGGCGTGACTTATATATAAGCTGTCTATATGCCATTTTTTATTTGTAGTACTGTATAACGACTGTATACTGACTGTATTTACGCCTGAGGCGTCTTAACATGAAATACTGTGTTTTATAGAGATGCAAGTCTGATGGTGACTGTAAAAAGGGGGAGTGCTGTGGAGGTTTCTGCCGTAAAAGATGTATTAAGGTATAATTCAATATTTTATTTTGATCTATTCAATTTACACCAATTATCAATTTACGCAAATTAATAATAATGAAATTATTGGCACTTTGTATACATATATATTGGAATTTCGCCTCGAGCTTAATATTATTGCACTGATGAAGGCCCGTGGGTTAACGGACCGAAAGCTTTGCAGTATTAAATACTTACGTAGTGTACCTACAAGCTAATTTAAACGTACAAGAATATTATAGATGCAAACGTGTAAACATACAAGAATATTATAGATGTCAGTTTGTTTTCTTTCTAATTTGTAGCGATGTAAATCTGAAGACGATTGCAAAGAAGGACAATGCTGTTTGAAATATTTTTCACATTTCCGATCAGGAATTTGCCAGGATTATAAACAAGAGGGGGAAAAATGCTATAAGGTTAGTATGTTATTTTTTCTACCAGCGAAAATTGCCCGACAGTAAAACTTCACAGTAAAAAAAAACACGCCTGGCAGTAAAGTTCACTTTCAACCTTCCTCGTGCAATGTCAGTTGATCATTGCAGTATACTGCTAGTCTGATTGAGTGTTGACTGTTGCTACTAATACTAGCCTGACTAGTCTAGTACGTACTGCTTTGCAATGTTGTATTCCGTGTTTCTCTTTCAACCTTCCTCAATGTCAGTTGATCATTGCAGTACTGCTGGTCTGACTAAGTGCTGACTGTTGCTACTAATATTAGCCTGACTAGTCTAGTACTTACTGTTTGCAATGTTTTATTCAGTGTTTCACTTTCAACCTTCCTCAATGTCTAAGCGCTAATTGTTGCTACTGTAATACAAACAAGCCTATTAGTTTAGTGAAATCTTACTATAGTATACGTACTCAAGTAGTACTCGATGCGTTGGAGTGCTTTGTTTCAACGGTTCACTTTCGGTCTCAACTCCTGTGCATGATTGCTGTAAACTATCCCTCTGAAATTAATGTTTTTTTACAATCAATACAGAAATCCAATTTTCACTCCATGAGGCGTAGTTGTGGTTGTGCTGAAGGCTTGCAATGCGAAGTAAAAAAAGCGTTCTTCTTTGGCTTTGGCTACTCTCGTCCTGGAAAGTGTGTCAGTGAGGAAGGCTCTGGTGAGATTGACGATTAACTGAACATCCCCAGCTTGCTAGTTTGTATGTTCATGCAATAAAACGTATCTCTGGCTGTAATTTTTTGTATTATGTATGAGGCGTAATGTAATTTTTTTGGAAGAAAGGAGTAGCGTTAAAAGAACCTAATATTTTTCATGCACGGGGAACTGACCTACTTTCCCAAAGGCGAAATCGAAGAAGAGTTGGTTAAATCAATTTTGAAAATGAAATCGATAGCTCGAGCAATCAAATATTCAAGTAGGTCGATCCTAACAGTCGAAGGAGATCTTTTCTATTGGCTAGTAAAATACGATAGATACACGAGATGAAAGGCATTTTTTATCGGAAGTATGCTCAGTTTGAACTAATATAAATTATCTAAAATATGATCATCTTTGGCACTTTGCTACAAGGGGTGCTTTGTGACATCGACACGCACAGTTGCAGCATTAGGCTTTTCAAAATTCAACCAATATAAAGTTAATTGTACATCTTAACAACATGGCTTTTCGTCACGAAATACAATGTTTAATTTGCATACAATATAGTTGCACGTGGAAAATCACTACAGCCAGGCCCGTGTATTTTATATCGGAAAAATCCAACAAAAGAACCTTTATATAGGCTCAAGCATATAAGCAACAGAGTAGAACATCAAAATAATCACAATTTGAAATAGTATTTTCAGTTACAATTGGCTTCGCCTCAATGGCACATGCTAAAAAACAGACTCAATTGTCTGCCAAAAATGTTCATTTGTATGTATGCTATTTTTTGTCTTTGGCACAAACAAGCTCTATTTGACGTAATCAAAAGTGCTTGTGAATTTTTACTAGCCGAAGGAACGTCACTCTCACGAGCGAATAAAAAAATTGCTTCCTGTCCGTAGTCTGTACATTAAGCATATTACATTTTAGTTTCAACGACTCTTGCTATTCTCGTAGTTTTGTTTATGGCTTTAGTGTTACCACAAAGAAATGTTTACCCCCTGGTCTTGCCAGCCAAAAGCGTCTACAGTTATAGTATATATTCAAATACATATTGTTATTGTGATTGGTCCTGCTGTTCTCACGTCATACGATGCAATATTACCGTTGTATTTTCCCATGGAATTTTAGACATTTCAAGTATGAGGTTAATATAATATACGAGTACGTTTTGAGCCTGGTTTGTTCTTAATATCTGCGTTTTATGCAAGTTTTCGGATCCGTTAGGTGGACGTTTAGATATTGTATACAACAAGCAGTTGCCATAATGTTGCGGTTTTTACCCCACGTTGTTTTTGCCAATAACATGTTGTTTTTCTAGTCAATTTCACGCGCGCGTTTGTCGTGTGAGCGTAGACAGGCGATCGCAGAGCATGTCGTGCAAAATATGAGCGGAAAGTTTTTAAAGAACGCTTTCCGTTATTTTGTCCCATTGAAGATGGCCTTCCATCTTGTTCCCCAACTTCCTCGATCCACGACGAGGCTCTACTTTTCTCCTCGGCTCTCGAGATATTTTTCTCGAGACTTTAGCCTCGATATTCCTCATTGGTCATGCCTCTTGAACGTGGGCCTCGCGCGCGATTTCAATGAGATGAGACGGTGGTCGACCAATCAGCGTGAAGAGCGCCAGGTCGCGTTGTTATTGAATTCTCCGACAATGCGTGTGTTTCACTTTGGCTCTCATTACAAAAGCACTGAACTTCACCAACAACTTCAACAAATGCCATTTAAATCGCGAATTCCAATCGAATACGCTCAGAATTGAACGAGCAGATGGCCTGAGTTTCAATGATGGCCAAACCGGTTTTATATGGCTGAGAATCAGCGAGAAAGTACGATTTGAGCGGTTTTAAAGTAGGAACGTGCTAGTCATATGCATAGTTAGCGTTGTGGAAAGTTGAAAGTTGACCACGATATTTTAAAGGGAAATGGTCTATTTGCGAAAGGGCTGAAATGTTGCCGAAGCTTAGGAAATTTCTGACGAGGCAAAGTCGATCGAGGTCAGATAAAGGGGAAGAGAACGGCGATGTTGTACTGCCTACGGATTTGGCTGATCAAGACAACTTGTTTACAGAGGACCCGTATCGCAATCGAACAGGTTCGATGGGCGACAATATTTTTAACCAAGAGCTACATTTCATTGTGGACTATTTAGGATACTCTCAGGTCTCCGAAGTACAGTCGATTTCACTGCTTTTGGAAAGCGTAAAGCGTGTTAAAAAAGGCTGCTCCGAAGCTAGCCGTGTCGACTTCGTAATCAAAGAAGGAGTTCTAAAGATTTCCACAGTCGGTTGTCATGCATTAATTCTTACCGTGCCACTGTATATTGTTGCCCTCTGTGCACAGGAATCGCTTAGAGGGTTTGATAAGTGTTTTGGCTTAAACATCACTCGAAAGAATTCCCACCTTTGCTATGTTTTTCAAGCTGGCTCGAGCCTCGAGGTAGGTTCGATTTGTACTATACAAAATTGCCTTGTCATTAAATTCTTCCGCCTGCGTTATTACGGCGTAAATATTCTAGGTTTTTTGTCAATTGTCTAAAGGAGCCATGCCATTGCTTTGTAAACTTTCACGAGGGTCACAACACCGATATTATGAAAATTATATTTCAACAAACTTGTGTAATTAAACGAATCGCAGGGGAGCTCTACAAGGGGGCCAAGATTTATACTAGATACAGTGTCTTTTCCCGGCTTTAACATAACATGTCGACGGTGTTTGCCTATTAAAAAATTAAATCCCAGCAGTAGTTTACCCTTATCACATTTACAGATTACGAATAGTTTCGAGGCTTTTTTAAAAATACCCGGGGAAATTCGACACCACGAAAAGAAATATCAACTTGTTTGTTTTTCGGACCTTGGATTACGTGTGGCGTTCGGAAATTGTTTAAATATTGTACTTGTTGACTTGTTCACTTTACAAAACGCGAACATTTCCTTTGATAATAGCACGCTTTGACTAAAAAATCATAATTGCAGGTCTTGTTTGATCGTTACATTGTTTTAGCGGATAATTTCTATTGAAATTCCACCGTGTTTTTGTGTTACAGCCGATCTGGTCGACTGGCTATGAACAGATTTCGAACTTACATAACGCAAATAATTTTACACATGCATGCGCGTCATTTAGGGAGGGCAAGCAATTATACTCGTATTGGCCCTTTTTTTCTTCAACCACACATATTGTATCGCCGGTTTTTGCCTTTTCTTTCCTGCGCAAACGTCAAGCAAACAAATACCGCCATTTTCGTAACTTCCTGTATTATAAAGATACGGTCAGTTTTTGTGCGCAGTGAGAAGCGTTGTGATCTTGCAACATTTGATTCGGGTTGAAAATAGAAAATACATCCATAAATGGTCCGCACTTGAAAATATCGCACACAGCGAACAATTGTAACAGATTCTGTCATGCAATCACCGTGTTTTTACACAAGGCTTCCCGAGAGCACCTCATTTGAATCTCGTGTTTATTCCCTTGCCACATGCACCCTGCCCTTATCCTCACAAAGTGGATGATCTTTTGATAAAATCTGTTTGTTAGCTAGCTCTGTATTTTACTGGTGTAGACAAACAGTGCTGGATTTTAATTGAAGAGGTAATTGGAAGCTCATGTAACAGTTGACATGTCAGTCAAACTGCAGGACTTCTTCAACTCTTCTGCATTCTGACAAAATTGCAAATACTCTTGAGTATTTTCAAAGTGAGTAATATGCCAAGCCATTGTCGGTACACTTGTACACAATATGGCTTGGTTATTACCCTTGGACTTATTTTTTTATTATGCGGGAAAACCTGACATTTTAACACAGACAGACCCAAACCATAACCCATTATATATTGTGGATTTCATGGATGGTTAAACATGGTGAAATATTTATTATAAAGTCAGAAAGTAGGACATTCTGACTTTCAAATTGCACAATCTTTGCTGACAAATTGTACTTCTAGGAACAAACCACAAACATCCGTGATATAATTCCTTCCTTCGTTATTTTTCTCATGCAATATTTATGTAGACAGGCCATCTGTGAATTAAGAAATATTTACATGCATGCGACATTAAATTATTAAGTTCGACAAGCATCATTAATACATTTACAAGGACAATTTCCCCTTTCCTCTCAAGTCGGTCGGTTGGTCTACACCAAGCATAAAATGAGCAGAATTGTCAGACTCAAATCAAAATATTTCCTTATTTATTGTTGTTTTTTTATCGAAATGTCAGAAAGGCCTAAATTACTGTACGGCGTGAAACTTTTTGATACTTTTTCGAATATATCTGTGCAAATTTCGAAGCCAGACATTGCCTAGATAGCATACGGTATTGGCCTTTTGTATATCAACTGTTTCCTAGCAGTTAAGTGTATGAATGTACGAAGGATTATATTCAAGCAAGCTGTCACATTCTTATTACCGCGAGTTTAGTCAAGATTAGTCCTTGGATAAAGACACAAGCTTGACGTTGTTCTAACTAACTCGGCGGGGATTTTGTAAACAATTGACCATTGTTACTCGCATGTAATACGACTTTACGCACTTTCCCTTCTGTTTCTAGTCTTGCAGATGGAAATATATGTTTCCATTAGCGGGTTTTTAGCCGTAGCTAATGTGTGGAAAATTGCCACGAATTAGGCGGAGTGATGTTTATTTAAGTACTGTTTCCGCATTACATTAGTTAATGGCCTTTCGAGATCGCTTGCAGATTTTTTTACCTCGATTTTTTTTACCTGTCAACTGACAGCGCACTCTTCTTTTTAGTCTCGTCAACAGAGAAGCGCCCAAATTTAAAACGTCTCATGTTTTACAGAGAAAATATGGTTACTTTCCAAAGACAAAACCCTGGCTAAGATGAGTCATGTCCTTGATCAAAGTATAATTCGTCGATATGACGATACAAGATCATCAAAAAGTTGATGATTGTCATGATTGTCGTTGAAATTCGTCACGTACAGCCTATTAATGTGTCATTATCAGAAATAACTGCAAATCAATGCAAATTATGTTCAAGTTTTGTATATTACGCAAGGAAATTGTTACAATTTTCGAGCCGAAAGTGGTTGACAACTT